CTCCCAAAGATGTTATATTTAGCGAAATTTATATGAATAGAATCCAGTAATCAGCTTTACAAATTATTTATTGAATTATTCAGAGAAGCAAATAAATTTTAGAGGAAAGCGTTTGAGAAGATCGCCTAATCGTGCCGTCCTGTCGGATTTAATGCTGGCAATCTTCAGATAACGCGACAAGTAGCCATTTGCAAAAAACATTGAAGCTGACAAAGAGTGCTTAAATTTGCCTATCCTCGCCGCTTTAGTTCTCTCAAGTTTTATTTCAACTGCAAAATGCCAATTACCAAAATTCATTTCACCTTTCCTTCATTCTTTAATACATGTATAATTTCTTTTTAAAAGACCTTCCTCGATTTAAGGCTTTTTGCTTTCTAATCCAAACTGTACAAATTCTCCGTCCAACATTCTCGCTAGCACCTCGATCGCTTAAAGGTTTATAGGGGCACAAATGTACAAACTCACTTATTGTCTCTATTGTTGCCGATTCAAATTATTGTTTCAACGAGTTATATGGAAGTTTTTCAAAGAGTTTTCGTATTAAATGACTGTTTTATTTTTAGTTCATTTCAGATATGGCACTGAATCGAACGAGTTGGAAATGTTTAGCCCTTAGCCATTTGAATTAGCCTAACAATTAATGGTTCGTGCTTTTTATAATAAAATGGCTGAATATAAGATAATTTGAAAATTTGGTGCCTTGTGGCCTATAAAGCAAAATAGAAACAAAATTCCATGGTATAATAAAAAATTTTAAATTTTATGGATTAAATTTTTTGAAAACTGTAAATTCAACAAATCTTTGTATTCTTTTGTTGATTCATTAACCTCATATACGTGACATAATGATAGCCTATTTTTTTGATTACCTTAATTCATCGAGAAGCATTCATTATATTTGGTTTGGTTAGTTTGACGAGAGAAATGGCTGCTTTGGAACATTTTCAATGTTGTTTTTTTCTTATTCTTTGTTAATTTATTGAAAAATTCTATTATTGAGAAATTTGTTTTGATACGATATCTATTCAAATTTAGTAATAAAGCGAGCAGCAGGATCGTCGTCGCGTTCGGGCACTCGAGCGATTTGTATGCAAATCCTATTGCAGTGTTAATGTTTGGGATTTCGACCAAATTTTTTTGAATAAAATATATTTCACTAAATCAAATTCACAAGATAATTTACGAAAATTCACAAAATTTATATTTAAATCGTGAAAATAAACGATGTTTTTTCTCGCTGCAAATAATAAATATCGTTAAAAAAATTACAATTTTTGAGATATAGCGAAACGCCTAAAATGTAATAAATCACTGAAACCTTTTAACAATTTATCATAATAATTAATAGCTACAACTATGAAGTGCTTTGAAATGAAAATGGATCCAAATAATCATTCCAATTATCAGTGAACTCAGCCAAACCTCGTCATTTTATCTATTAAAATCTTAAAAGGAGAAACATCGAAAAACTTAATTCAAAATTAGAAAAATCAGAATTTTATGAATTCGATTGTCATTCACTGATATAAACTGCACTAAAAATAGTCCTCCAATCGTTTTAAATTTTTCTTATGCCAGACGCTTATATGATTGCATTCTTTCTACAAATTCATCACTGTTTCAAGAAGTGTTAGCATTTATCATATTATCAGTATCATCTCGGATGTTACTCACACTTATGTCTAATGTCAAGCGAAAAATGATATCCCAACTCGCATAGCAGGTGGAGAGTGGAGACGCTCCTTTTGACTGGCTAAGTGAAAACAATCCTACTGAATGAAATTGCCTTCTGAATGAAATTGGAAGGATAGAGTTTGATCATTCTTGGCTAGGTGGACAGAATCTTGGTCCTCAGAAATCGAAGCTTTTTGCATGCACTATATGCATAATCTTGTGGCAGGTGAAAAGAAAAACAAAGAAAACTAATTAAGGAGGTTTCTTAATTTTGAACGTTGCCCAACGATATATAGGCGATATACAGCGAAAAAAACTTCAGATACTCTTCAACATATAAGGCTAAGATACATCTTATTGCGCCATTCGAAACTGAATAAAGTGAGTATAAAAGAATTAGGCAGAAAACTGTTGGAAGAGGCCAACAAAGTCGCTTATTAGGTGATTCAGCCATTAAATATTTCGATTGTTTCGACGCCGGCGTGGTAAGACAGGTATTACAACGGTAACGTGGCTCTCTGCATATACACTCGGCGGTAAGCCGGAAGTCATTTCATCTTCATGAAGGACCTATAATTCAGAAAACCAAATGATTGAAAACAAAAATAACATATATATTTATATTATGTTAGATCGCCTCGCACAAACGTGAGAGTTCTGAAACGTAAAGTCGTCCTTTATGCGCTAATAGAAACGCTTTTCGAATCTTTAGGCCCCTGCGGACCTCCCATCCCCGTGTAGCGAAAAAATAACCAAAATTAAATGTAATTCAGTGCAATGCCTATCTGTTAAGGATAAAGCAATCCGTTTTCAAATCTCCCCGATGTTTTAATACGCCGGCATTAATATATGTTAAGTAATTGAGCAATTGACAGGCAAGCAAATGACAGAGCTCAAAAGAAAGCCATTCAAGAAAGCTATGTTTGAATGTAAATGGGTCTTGAAACGATTGCATGATTGCGCACGAGAATTCAGCCTGCATAGCGTGTTCGGGCATTGCATTTGGAAGAGCAGGGAAATGAGAGAACCAGAAGGGGAGGGTTTCAGTTGTTCAGCTTAGTCAGTTTACGAGATAATTATATCGTTACGAATGCGAATCGTGAATAGCACTAAAAATTAGTTATGTCCGTCCATCAGAATTAGAATTGTATCGCTCAGGAAAAAGACAAGAAACTGAAAATTTTATTTGGAATTTTTGAATAATTTTAAGCCAGTGTTTCGACTATTTTTACCGATCTTCATCATTCACATTTATTCGCATTTTTTTTCCATAAGTTTCTGCTTCCATCAGATTTTTTTCCTTATTTTATAAGAATTTATGTTGAATTAAAAATATTCAATAAAAAATTGTGATTGTAGAAGATAAAATTTCGCGGAATTTATTGAAAAAATGGAAGAAATTCATAAGCAATATGTTTGCAATGTTGCCGACATGGATTTGCAACTAAAACTTCAAGTAAATTTGTTTCTTAAAAACTTTGCTTAAATACATTAAATTGCTAAATGCAGCCGTTTTAATCATGGAAGCTTAGCTAAACCAACTGACTTTTATGCAGAGTTTGTTAGCGCGTCGTCATTTACCGATTGGATAGCACCTGGATTGGAAAATTTTCCACATTTCAGCTACCGCACTGTGCGTTTTAGCGCAATAGAGAAATTAGCCAAGATTTGCCCAGAACTTTTCTTTTCAAAAAGAATAATTAGTTTGGCACTTGGTACTTGGCTTATATAAATATGTGAAGATAGGATATATTAAAGAAAAGTATATATTTATATAAAGTTATAACGCCGAAATTCGTTAATGTAGAAAGAAGGGAGAAAGGATGAAAAATAAAGATAAAACGATTAAGAAATATGCACCATTTTGCCTTTGTATCTTTTTGAATCTTAATTGAAGCGGATTATTCATTCAGAGAATTTATTTGGAACAGCTGAAGGCAGAAAATCAGAAGCGAAAAGGGCAAAAAAAATTGGTTGGTGACCAAAAATCTTGTAATGGAACTAATCCGGATGTGCTAGAGTCAAATATTAATAATATTATCACTCAGTAGGTACTTTCGTTTTCTGTGATATTATCATTTTTTTTTAACTTACATATCTCCGGCAAAAAAATGGAATCATTTAAATTAAATTCGAAAGGTTTTGAAAAGTTGACTAGTTCACTTCGATTTATTCCGATTTATTCATTTATTGGTTATTTAGAGTTAAAGCGCATACTGAAAAGGCGGAAAAATTACAAAAAGCACTTCATGTAGGATGTGCGCGTTTACAAAAAGGTTCTTTTATAGGATTTAAATTTTAAAATTAAGGTTCTTTTATAGAATTAATTTTTTTTTTTGTAAGATTCACGGATTTAGCTTTACAGCAAATATTTCGACTGAATTTAGCTGATTCTTAAATAAACAAAACAATAAAAATGCAATATAATAATAAAAGTAATAAATGCAGTAAAATGCAATAATAAAAAGTAATATATCTTCAAATAGTCATTAGTCATTTGGCGTTTTATTTGTAGTCAATTTGTTTTATATTATATTTATTCAAAACATTCAACATTTTATTTTTCAAGTTTTAGTTCTGCGGAAAATTTGATGCTAATTTATCTCTTAGAATGATAATGATAAATCGTTCATTAGCTCATTAATAAATTCGTTTTTTTTTACTTTAAAACACTTTTTTTTACAGCTCAATCACAGTTGAAAGATTCTGAGGAAAAAATTCGCTTGTTTTTAGACAAATTTAAAACAAAGGCGGCTGCTTTAGATACTTTCAAAAACCCTTATATTGATCTTGGTTCCATAGATAAAGGTATTTTCCAGGATAATGTTTTTATAAAAAGTAAAATGAAGTAATAAAATGAAATAATACTGCCACATTTGTTTTTATTATTTTTTTCAAAATATATAAAATTTTCAAAATATAAAAGCTTTTTATAGAGCTATATTTACAGCTTTCAAATGATCATTATTTTGTATATATTTTTTTAGTACATTTTTTACTTTTTATTTTATATTTTTTTAGCGCAAGAAGTTTATGAAAATTTCAAGAATGTATTTTTTCAACAGCTTAATAATGCATTACCAGAGTACTTGCATAATGTAAGTCATCCATTTTTATTTATTTATTTATTATAACTATACCATATATACCTTGATGTGCTAATTTGCTGTTATTTCAGGAGTATTTATCACAAATCAATTCACGTATTAATAAACTTTCTGAAGAGAACAGCAAGCTTACAAATTTGGAGGAAGAACTTCGTAAAGCCGTTGATAAATATGGTAACTATGTAACACAATAAAATGCCGATGTTAAAATGATTTTGAAATAATAATTTTTTAAACTCGAATTTAAAGATCAATATTGGAATTCTGAATAAATCCATAGATGCATCCAGACCATTTCGAAAAATAAAAGATAAAATAAAAAGATAAAATCATAAAAAATTTTTAAATTTCGATTATTTTATGCTTTTATTACAGAAGAGTGTGAAGGTGAATATTACAAACAAAAATCTTATCACGACACTTTGACCGAAAAAGTTCAGATAATGTGTGAAGAATATCAGAAATGCTGCAACCGACTTAGTGAATGCAAGGAACGAATTTCTCAACTCCAATTGACTTTTACTGATGGTCAATGCAGCACTAAAAATTATAACGAAACATTAACTACCATCAGTGCTCAACTTGTATGTTTTTTAAATAGTTAAATCATTCAAATATCTTTGAAATTACACGACATTGATTAATTTTTAGGAGGAAATGAAAAAGGAAAACGAAAAGCTTGTTGAAAAAATTGATAGACTCGAAACTGAACAGAAAATTGCTGAATGTTATCACGAAAAGAATCGTAGTTTGGCTAAACACTTTAACGATGAGCGAAGCAACCTTCTCAAAGATTTTCAAGTCGAGATTTTATTATAAATATATATAACGCGTTTAATAGCTAAAATGAAATTTTATAATCATAACTTGTTACTGAATCATTTTATTTGAATAATATTCTCTCGATACTTAATTTTCTTACAGGAATTTGCAGAAACCATAGTTCGAGACTATAAAGCTGAGTTGGAAAAGAAACGTTATCGTAAAATTGATTTAACCGCTAAGGTAAATAAACAAAATATGGAAATTTTTTTTGTCAATCCGTCTTTGTTGTGATAATAATGATTGTTATTTTGTGAATGCACTTTCCAGGTTGAAAATTTACGTCATGTTAAAGCCAGGAAAATTGAATATGAAACGTCTAAAAAACTTTTGGATGAACGCAATAGGGTTTTAAATGGCCTGAAGAATAAGCTCATCGATTTGAAAGAGGCAACAGCGATGAAAGCTAAACATCTGGAAGAAATAGTAAATTTTGAAGCACATAATTCAAAAATTTTAAATTTGTTTTAAAGAAAAGAATGATAGGAAGAAGAAACTTCAATAAGAAACTTTTCAATGCAAATGAGAATTTCTATTCGCCTTGGACTTCATGATTTTATATTCAACATTTCAGAAATCTGAGAGAAAAAGACGCGCTGAAGAATTCGAAAAACATCTTAATTTTTTGAATATCATAGTGGGAAAATTAAAGAAAGAAAAAGGCAAACTTGAAACCATATTGATCTTGCAAAAGCAAAAAGTAATTAAAAAAGTAAATTAAAAATATTAATAAATGTAGTAATATTTTCCCATTACTTATTCGAAGTTTTTTAGGCTGAAGAAAATCGTTTGAAACTGAACAAAAGCAAAGAGATGAAAATAAGCCTATTGGATGGCTCGATTGACGTCCAAAAGAAATTATTGCATTCACAAACGAGCATAGCAAACGAAATGAATATCAAGCATTCGTCCAATGAAGTAATAGAATGTGGCGAGAAAGAAAAGAAGTCCAGAAATGAATACTGGCATCAAGGTTTCTTAAACATTAACATTAAACATTATTAAATTAAACATTATTAAACGTTGTTAAATTATCGCATCAATAGCGGAAATTTAGATAACGTGTCACGAAACAACTTTTTTTGTCTGAAAATTGTGAGAAAAAAGTTATAATAGCTTTTCCCACATTTTCTTCGATCTTTAGAATGAATTTCAGCACTATTCTACTAATAGAAGAGACCAGAATTAATCTTGATAATAAGCCAATAGATCCATGAAATCGCCACAAATATAAATAATAATCAAGGCAATCTATTATCTACACATTATATCAACATCTATTTATAGCCTTCCCAACCAACGAGCATGAATTTATAAAATCAGAACTAAATCAAGTGAAAAAAACGAGAGGAAAGACAGGAGTTCGAAAAGAACAATCAGAAAAACCATCCCACGACTTGGATCTTGGTAAATTACAAGATTTTGGCTACGAAAAATCCAAGTCTCCACGTCCATCTAGAAGAGGCCGTAAACGGTGCATGGCAGCGAATAAAAATCGTTCGATGTAATTATTTTTGTTTTTGGGTTTTATATTCGTAAAATAATTCAGAATTTCTTTTAATAGTTCCATCAAAATTCAGTAGATTTATTTTGTTGTGAAAAAAATTGGAAATATTTGTTTTATTTAAATATTGTTATTTGTTTTCTAAGCCACATTAGTTTTAACCAGTATTTTTTACAACAATAAAATATTTTTACTATATTTAAGATGTAAAATAAATTTAAGATGTAAAAATAATAAAGCGAATTCTGTTAAACATCCTGTTTTGTTTGAAAGTTTATTGTCATCTTTTGATGCTGAACAAGCTATTACTTCTACTCCACTTTCTTCACACAATTCTTCCATTCAACCGATCAAGTAAATTAAAATTTAAATTTTTAACTTTAACTTTTTAATTTTTTTATTTATTTTTTTATTTTCGATTTAAATAATTTCTTAATTTTTAGTTTTATGTCGCAAATAACCTTAAAAATAATTTCAAAATTAATAATTCATTTCTTTAATAAGCCATTTTCTATACTTCTTTTTATTTTATCCCGAAAATTTTCTTCCTATTCATTTAATTATTTAGAAATGAATCATCGCTTTATAAATCACAGAGAAGTATTTTTATCAATGGAAAATTGAGCAAATCAAATAAACGGAAGCCAACGAATTTCGCTGAAGTAAGTTTTCGTTTTAACAAGTCCCATGAGTTTCATATGTCAATTTCAATTACATCTTTTTTAAAAGTGCATCATAATACCAGTAAGTTCTATTATTTTATATTTATATTTCAGAATTATTTATATTTGTATCTTGTATACTTTATCATTTATTTATATTCATATTTTATTACTATTATTACTATTTTATTACTATTTACTTTTACTATTTTATTTAAAACTTAGGTGCGGGCCAACAAAGAAAAATATAAAAGAAATATATTCGACTTCGCTTCAGAAAGCGACATGGATTGATTGAAAGCGACTGCAGAATATGTTTCATCAGTAAAGGTATTTCTTTCATAAGAAAAATATTATTATTACAAAATATCAAATATCAAATAAATATCAAATATTAATAATAAAAATATCAAATTTTATTTCGTTTTTAGCAGTTTAAAGAATTTTCTTCACCTCTTCAAAACTTTTTTTTAAAACTAATTGCTCATTCTTCACAAATTTTCATTAATTTCATGAACAAAATAAATAAAATGAATAAATTTATTTGATTGAAATATGCTGGTGAGATTGACTGTTTTCATTTATTTTTAACGGTGATGGCAGCCATTTCTCGTTTATTTTCATGTATATGTTAATTAACTTTTTTTTTGTTTATTCGCCTAATATTCAATTTTTATTCATTTTATTTTTATTGCAATTTTATTTTTAAATTCTAGCAATTAAAAAGGAAATGCATCAAATTCTCTTTCTCGATTTCATATATTTTTCCATTATTTATCAGTATTTTCCATTTGCTTTTAATTTTTTTTTAAATGAATTTTTTCTGTTTTGTTTTTTGCACTGAAAGAATAAAAATCCGAAAATTTTATTGGTAGAATGATTCCACAATTATTAATTTTATTTTTCTAAACGAAATCTCTCTTCCTAATCTGAAAAACAGTTTTTCTATTTTCTATTTATTTTTTAAAGTTTTTTCAAATAAATAAATGACTTTTTAGCAGTTTTGGCCAATGATATGATAAATTTGCAGTGAGCTATGTGAAGAATAAATGGCAAATTTAATCCAAAAAAGTGAAGAACTGTAAAACAATTACGAAAAGTAAAAAACTTAATCGTAATAGAGAATAACTGAAGGTTACTCCCACTCTTGGATTCAAGCGGTAGAGGTAGCAAATAGAGAGCATTCTCGATTTAGCGAAGGCTTTTGTGAGCATACGCATATATGGAGTTAAAGTACGAATGAGCCCTGCAGCAATCGGATTCTTTTGTGATCATTATTTATATCAGTAGTAGAAAGTCGCTAATCGCTATTCTTTAACCATTCCACCATATTGCTCAAAATCGCAAGTCCACTAGTTCAATTATTTGTGTGTTTAGAAAAAACACCTGCTCGAAATTTATTCTATGGTACTGATATATAATTTATGATAGGTTGATTCTTTCACGCTATTTTATTATTCTAATAAGGATTAATAAGTATTAGTATAAAAGAATTTTATATTTTACTATATGATCTACTTCCGACGACTTTCCTTCTCTTTATTTTGTCTAAGGATGTAAAGACAGATTTAAGGAACATTATTATACAATTTATAAAAATAATATACAATCAATAATTTTTGCTAATAAAATTGCTGCTCATCCAAATTGCTGAGGAAGTTGTGTTTGTGTTCAATGGATGGTTAAGTAGCGAGGAAGGAAACTTAAGGAGAAGTAATAATAATTATTTTAGAGAGAAGCTCGAATGTTTTAAGAATTTAGTGATTGCAGCTTATCATCGCCAGCTATGATATGAAAAATTAGTACTTCTATTACTAAAGCAAGTTTTTTACAATGAAGTTTTTGGTACGTAATATTAGTGTTTGGTTCGATGCGTTATCATCCTTATGGTGGATTAAAGCATTCAAAAATTTCTTAAGGATTAAAAATTAAATGCAGCGATTTAATTTGCTATGTAGAAATAAAAAGATTAGGTCGGAGACAAATGCTTCTGTACTTATAAATGAAGAAATAGCTACAATGAATCTGATTTTAGCAGTTATTTTTGCTTGCTTTATTATTTTATTATAGATAAATAACCATTGGATAAAAATTTCTATAAAAATATTTCGCAGATTCACTATTATTTATTTCTGCAAATATAGTTGATTTCACCCATATTTTCCTTACCTTATTAATATTTCATTAAATTTGGTTTTAATATTTTTTTCATATTTCATTTTTTATTATTTATTATTTGCTTATTATTTGTTATATGTATTACTTATTATATAAAAAAAATTATTTCACCAAAAGTTCTAAGTTCTAAGCGAAATGAAATTTTTTTCACTAACTGCTTTAATTTTATGCGCTAATCATGAATTATCGATAAAAATTAACGTACGTTTTAATATTTTTTTCATATTTCATTTTTTATTATTTATTATTTGCTTATTATTTGTTATATGTATTACTTATTATATAAAAAAAATTATTTCACCAAAAGTTCTAAGTTCTAAGCGAAATGAAATTTTTTTCACTAACTGCTTTAATTTTATGCGCTAATCATGAATTATCGATAAAAATTAACGTACAACTGATAAGTAAGTTTTAGCTCAATAGCTATAATATATAATACTTTCAGGAAAAAAAAATCATTTTAAAAAATTTTGCGAAATTATGAAAACCAAAGCGTTATTTTAGAATAAATACATTTGCAAAGTAAGCCTATTGTTGGTGACTTAAAGGTTTATTTCTTCGAAATATTATTTAATTCTGAAATATGAAATAAATTTCATAAATCTTACTGAACCAGCATTTTGCTTTATTTATTGGCAAATCACTGCATAAATTACTGTTTCCTCGGTTTCCAATGAGTAATTGGTAATTAAAATAGATATTTTAGCAAATCAATCACTTTATGCAGACAACAGTCATTTTCTTTTTACGATTCTTCAAGACGGTCCTCAGAATCAATTCTTTCAGAATTTGCATAAAAATTAACAAACTACTACTAACTACTGTTTTTGTTTTGTAAAGGATTAATCGCCATTCCTGGTTTAGCTGATTGCATTTACTATCTAAGATGAAATTCTTTCGTTAGAATATTGTGGCAGGTGGCTATTTACACCACTCATCTAACGACAAAGAAGGGACCAAGCGAAACGTTTAAAATCTTGAGGCAGTATTTTTGTGGCTCTAATATCTTGCCAAATAATCATTTATTTGCTCATATACGATAAAAAAATGCCGAAATTTTTTGAAATTTGCGAGGAAAAATTAATTAATAATGGTTCTCTTAGTTTTTTGGAATTTCAGGATATAAAAAAGAGACAAACAACAAATGGCGAGCAGATATTCAAGGATTAAAGGCACTCGCAGTAATAAATCATAAATCATAAATTATTCAGTAATGGATTCATTACAATTGATATGTTTTTTGTTATCACTGGTTATCTTGCAATAATGAATTATGGACCTTGAATAATTCGCTTAATATTCGAATATGCATTAAAAATTATGCTATTATTAAGAGAATTAAACGTATTATTTTGCCATATTATTTTACAATTTTATTGATAATTCATTTTCGCTATGAATTCTTGGAAAAGCTTCTCTTCGTCTTTCGATTTTCTATCAACGATTGTTTAATCTTCACTTTTATTACGTTGATATTGTCTTTCTTAATTTTTCACTTTAATCGAACACCCTTTGCTAATACGATGCTCGATGCAAATTCGCTACTTAAAGAGTCCTCACCATTACTAGTTAAACTCGCTCCACTGGTTTGTCACATTGCGCGATAAGCCAGGGAGTCCCTTCACGAAAGCAATACAGATGAGTCGTCAGCATCACCCGGATTTTTGTGCAGGTTTACTCCTGAGTGGAATCGAACTTCAGCATCGGCGCTCCCCATTGAGCAACAACTCACTGAGCCATTCTATCCCTATTGAAGTTGATATAAAATACAACAAAGAGAAATAATTCAGAAAAAAATGAAATTATATAATTCGATTGAATATATTATAAGCATATAAACAGATAGTGAAATCAAGATTTCAAGCTTCTTGCAAATTTCGAATTTCTTCTTAATACTTTTAATACTTTTTAAAAAAATAACCAAAAATAGCGCTAAGTTCGCTAAGGTGTTACATATATATACATTTTACCATTTTATTAAATATTTCCCAGTTTTTCTTCATTTTTTACGACATTCCATATGAAAGATGGCAACTGCTGAATTACTTTGTAATAAAACGAATAGAACGAATTTTTAAAAAAGTTATTTAGAAATTAAATATTTCAAAAATATTTTCAAAATTATTTTTCAACTAAGTCAATTATGTGCACCAATTTTATTCGAGTAAAAACTGAAGTAACTGAACTGTAAATGGGGGAGAAAAAAGAAAACACTCAAAAATTCGAATGATTTTTGAATAAAAAATGAATTTTCGAGGAAAAAAGGATATTTATAGAATTATTCCCTTTTCCCTGGCATGTCTTGAAGAATCACTAATGAAATGCTAGGTAACTAAGTGTGTACCAATTTATAATGTTGAAGCACCAAAAAATCGCCATCCGAAATGTCCGGAATTTTCCAAAGTTGCGATGGGAATTATTCAAAAAATGACGTTATCTTTTTAAATTTCATGTAGGTTTATGATAATTCTTTAAATGAAACTTACTTGGTTCATCGCGAATGCGGATTGTTAATAATGGTGATGGAAGAACTTTTCCACCGATCACAAACTAATATTTCGCTTATTGCGCTTCGATGTAAAAAGTGTGAATTTGTACATATTTATCGATGGTTATGCAATTCTAAGGTCGTTTTTCTCCTTCGCTTTTTCGACTTTCTCCTATTATTCAAATTTAGTTTCACCTATTTTCTGACCACTGAAGTTAATTATGAGTTATACGTCGATTATCAAACTATAATTTATACTTTTTAAATGCTTCTGGTAACTCTTTAAATTCTGGTATGTTCAATAAGAGAAGCAAAATTTCAGCACAAAATTCTGTATTTTTTTTTAAATGCCCTTCCCACTGCTGGTTAGACTCGCTCCGCCGACTTGTCGCACTAGGCAACTATGTCAGAGAATCCACTGGGGATGTGCAGTGAGTCACCAGTATCACCGGGGTTTTTGGGCAGGTTTACTCCAGCGTAGAAAAACCTCATCATCGGCGCCCGAATCGAACAATAACCCGCTGAGCCACTTATGGATAAATTTCATGATTGTAGTAATAAACTTTCAAATATTTTAAACAAATATAAAAGATTCCAAGATTGACGAATTTAAAACCCATAAGAAGAACGGCAATCACTAAACTGCTTTGGAAGAAATTGTAACAAATTTTTATCAAAAAATTCAAAATAATTTATTCGACTTTATATTATAGTAATTTATCAAATACGCAGATCACAATTACAAAAATCTTGATTTGCGGCAAAAATGGCATAAAAATCAAAGTTTACTGACCCTTTTGCTTATTCGGCGACAATGTGATGAAGCGAAAATAATTACATTTTGCTATTCACCTCCACCGTGAACCACAATCACTCAAGAACAGTTCCTAGTTTGTTAATGCAAAGAGCGAGTGAACTTTCACATTTTGTTATGCAACAAAAAACTTTGTAAAATTTGGCTGTGGCTGCAGCTGAAAGCTTAACGAATGATGCGGCGATGAAGGACAGAAATTGAAGAGCGCCTTAATAATTTTAATTATATATATTTATATATAATTTAGATAATATTTTCCATGTTGAAATTTAAAAAAACGTAAAATGCAAAGAGATTGAGTAAAATATTATATTTATAATTAGATGTATAAATGAGTCGAGAAGTGCGAATATCATTATGGTCGATAGTGGAAAGCAGCTGCTCGACTCTCTAGCTCGAATTCAAACTATCGTCGAGCATTCGCATCACTCTATACAAGAACAATCTAAACAGGTTTTACTTAAATTTTCATATCTAATTTATAATTTTTATGAAATATTAAAATCTCTAAAACGATTTATAAAAGCTTTTACGAAAGATTTACAAGAAATTATATAAAATCATCGTTCAGCATTTAAAATTCTTAGCAATAAACGAGCAAATATTAGTTTAATACTATTAACAAATAAGTGAAATATGTTCGCATTCCCATAAAATATTTAATCAATTTAAATTAATTTATAACTTATTCGAGTGGACTTCGATTAAATGAAAGGGTTCTCTGATGAAAGGGTTCTTTCTAACAGAGTAAGTAGAGTGGCCAGAAAGTGAATTGCAAGTGGTGATATCCATTTTGTATGGTACCAAAATTAAGACAAATGAAGGAATAACGGATAGGTTTGGATACAGCGAACTGTTTGGCGCGTAATTCGACCACCGAAAAAGATAGTGAATTAGCGATTAGCCTCCTGAAAAGTTTTAAAAAACCACTAAGGCTCGAGGAAAAATTTTAAAAAGGTTTTGTTAAATAGATACGAATTAAAATGGCTCCAATAGCTATTTCTGTATCCTGCTAATTCTTCGAAGCGCACGATAGTCAGGATGATCACCTGACATTCAAGCTTTGGCAGCTTTTTCAGACAGTTGGACAATTAATTCCGACACCCAACTAACGCATTTCCTACTAGTGTAAAAAATCGAAAATTTGTTTGTATTCTTTTTCTTCAGAATTTTTTTATTCTTTTATCTTTTTCTCATTAGCGTAGAAATTGCAGTAAAATATTAGATATTAGATAAATATTAGAAAAAGATATTTTTTCAAAAAAATGAAACGTTTCAAAGAATTGGCGATCGCCACGTGATTCTCTCCTTAGAATCGTCGCTCAATTTCACAAATTCAACGGCAAAGTTTAAATAATTCATAAAAACAAATCTAATAATTTAAGCAAATTTAGCAATTTTTTCCTTTAATTGAATTGAATAACACTATTTTGGAGAATAACACTATTTACGAGTAGGAACATTATGGCCGAGTGAGATTTCAAGCAACATAATTCAGCACAGTCTCTGCTCTTTGACAAGAATAAGCTTATCGTTAGAAGTCAAATCCGAATGGTGCTTGAGACCCAACTATACCCCTAACGTCGTTTAGCCAAAGAGTCCTAACAGTTAAAGCGAATTTAGCCAGAAATTGTGAGTATAGAAAAGTAGAGAATAGAAGTACTTAGTATCTTTATTGATATAATTTTTTTTAAAGGGACCTCTATTTCTGATTAGGCCCGCTCGCTTGGCTGGCTTGTTGGACCAAATTAATTTTGCCTGGAAGCCACGCCGTGTCAATGTAAAAATAATAATCGATATAATAAATTTCAGTTAGCTGATTGTTTGCTTACGAATAACGTTGATGAAATTTTATCATTTTACGATGAAGATATTGAATTCTTTGAAAGTGGCACTCCGATTTGTAGGGGTTTAGATGGTAAGCGTTTTTCTTTTCTAAATTCTCTTTTTTTAATTTTTTATTAAAATTAAATATCTTATAGTAATATAACGTAGTATATAATATAATTGTATTGTAATAAGAAAAAATTGTATGGTACTGGAAATGGTACTTTATAAATTCAGAAATTAAATGAACTTATCGACTTTTAACTCGAAAATCTATTAAATTTTGTTAATAGAAATAGAATAGAAATTTTATTAATATAACGTTTTTGATCATTGCAAGTAAATAACTTGTTATAACTTGTTATAACTTTTTCCATAAAATGAAGAGAAATTTAGGTTTAGGCCCCGAGGCTAAGGATCCACCCAGAAATGCGCAGCCGGAGGAGCAAGTCTAATTAGTAATCGTGCACGCTATAAAAAGAGGATTAAAAAAATTGCTGATTTAGAGGCATTTAATGGTTTAATTAGTGTTTGGTGATTTTTAGTGATTTAATTTTAAAAATGATTTTAAAATTTCGAAAATTATTAGTGATAATCGCTGATTATCAAAGAATCATTGAACTATTGGGCCAAAGTTAACCAAAAAAACAAAATTATTTTTGAAATCGTGAGAGCATTTCACTTCATATAGGTCTAAACATGAAAAATTAAAGAGAAGAGTTCAAATTATGCAATTGGTAAATAATTATTCCGGTGCAAAATTGGTGAAAATAGCCGAAATGGTCCATAGAACCAAATTTCATTTCCTTCATTTCTCCTTTATAGTAAAAATTCAACAGGAAGAACGAAGAAAGCTTTTCAGCTCTCCGAATGTACTATTCAACGATGCGAAAAATCGGTTTAAGGGTGATTTCTCGAAAAGTCACCGAATTACACACACTAAGTCCATTTATTGTCATCGAAAGAGGTGAATTTTGCTTACAAAGAAGCAAAAATGTCGTTGTATGTGGAAGGTTTCCTTTTTGTTCGTTCATAAAATAATTTTTGCATAAATTAAATGCTTAGCGTTCACCATTTCTGGTTGCTTAGTTTCGATCCACCGGTTGTCGGTTTGAAGTTTTTACAATAAAATCACTTGGGAGTGGTGCGAGTGGACCAGCGGTCGAACCCGCCAACTCGCTGATCTGAACCCCTATCCACTCGGCTAGCCTGCCTCTTATATGTGCATTAAAACAACACAGATGAAATAAATGAAGTCTAAAAAGCTTTTTCAATTTCTCTTATATGAAATATCTAAAAAATAATGTAATAATTTACAAAAGTTTTAAAAATTTGATAAATAATTTAAGATATTTTGCATTATGGATGAACAGAACTACAACATGGAAGATTATTGAAGATTGCCGCATCATTCAACAAAAATAATTTCTTCTTGAATTAAGAGTGATAATTTCAAAAATTATCAGTGATAATCGCTGATTATCAAAAAATCGTTGTTGTATAAATGGAAGTGTTTTTATATAACTTATATCTTATATTTTCTCTATGAATCGAGATTAATAAGCGAAATAAAAATATGGCGAAAAAAGAAGTACACCGCTCAGGTTTCTGCTTAGAAATAACTTGGCGAATAGAATTTCAGGTGGTTCGCCAGCACCGCTAGCGATAAAGTCACTAGAATGGCCTTTTAGGGTCTTTTACGAATTACAGTATGCGAATATTGTTGGAACAATTCTGTTTTGGCTAGAAACCTGCTAAGGGTAGTAGCTTAAAGCTAAATGTACGGCCAACGAAGAGGATTATTTAAGGTCGGCAATTTCCCACAAGCGTGTACATAGTTCCATGAGCGACCTACGACCAGTTAAATGGTTTTGGCCTCAAGAAGAACCAACGACTCTCGATGTCTATCAAAACAAAACATATGCTAGGCAGTTTCGGCAAGCAGTTTCACTTTCCGATCTCTAGCAGATGCAAACCTACCAATGAAGGTGAAATTCTGGTCGAGCTGAGGACTCATAAGTACCTTCATTGAGATATTTAGCTGCTAAATTTGAAATTTCGAATAACGCCAAATTTATTTATTTGTCCATAATTTTACGCTTTGTGCTAAGGTCAGTTGGTGAAAAGATTTGGGGGGGAGGGGGGATTGAGGGGAGAATTTTAGGTCCGAGGGGTGCGGGTACGATTCCACTAAGCATCACCAATAGAAATTCATTAAGTAAGAGGAATTTAATAATTTTCAATCTTCAATTTTCGGAAAAAATGCAGCAGCAGTCCAAAGATATGAAATCGATCGCTGATATTATATTGTTTTACGCTATAGCAGTGTTTCGCTTTGAAATCCTCCTGAACCCCGTTAAACTTCTCCCAAAGAACCACGCGGTCTTTCCTGAATGTCTTCAGAATATTACTCTTCGCTCTATTTGATAGCGACAGTGTGTTGAACTAATGGTCCATAGGTTGCTGGTTTTATATCCTCGAATCCTGTAGTTCCTACAAGAATCTGCGTAAGAACCAACTCAACGGGGGTTTGAAGTTTTCAATGCAATAATTTGCCGTTAATGCTTCTTTTCATGCATATCGACGAACTTTTTAGGTAGCGCTAGTCTCTATGCAACTTGCTTATGCTAATTTACCTTATATCTGGAAAGCTAGGCCACAACCTGAAGGATCTGTGGTTGACTCGCCTAGTAACTCTGTTGTGCCTCTTCAGCGTCTCTTTTTCGCGAAGCTTCTATTCCCTTATCCGCCAGTTCATATCGTTTATTACTGAAGTCTGTTAAAATCATAGATATGCCACGTACATATGACGAAGAATGTAGTTTTATCGAACGAGTTTCAGCAGTACAGTTTCGTATAAAAAAAGGATTTGTACCAAATATGAATGTAATTATTTATTTATGAATTATTTTTATTATTAACTTAAAATTTTTTAAATAAAAAATATTAATTTAGAAAGTTACTAATTCTTTTAAATTTCAGGTCGAAGGGCGATTTTACGTAAATAATGCCTTAGAAAAATTGATGTTTGAGGAACTTCGCAATGCGAGTCGTTCAGATGGTATTGGTGGATTTCTTCCTGCCGTTCGTCAGATTGGCAATGTGGCTGCATTGCCAGCTATTGTTTCGGTGAATTTTTTCATGATGATTCATTATATATTAAATAGATCCATCATTATCCGTGTTAGTAAAATCCATGTTAATGAGGGTTCACCTTTATTTCTCTTTCCTCGTACCACTTGAAGCTGCTGCCATCTGCTAATTTTAGTTTTATCCTTATTGCAGGCATCAATAGGACTCCCCGATATACATTCTGGTTACGGTTTTGCTATAGGCAATATTGCTGCTTTTGATGTGTCTGATCAAAAGGCTATCGTATCTCCAGGTTCCAATATTCTTGCATTTTGGTGGTGATTCAGATGTTTGGATGATGTGGCGAATATCAATTTTTCAGGTGGTGTAGGTTTTGATATAAATTGCGGTGTTCGTTTGATTAGAACAAGTCTTTCTGAAAATGATGTTCAGCCGGTGAAAGAACAATTAGCTCAGTCATTGTTTGATCATATCCCAGTTGGTGTTGGATCAAAAGGAATCATACCTATTGGTGCATCTCAATTCGAGGTTTGGAATTTCTTCCGATGGATTTATAATAATTTTTCCATCCGCAAATATATCTCATGAATGAAGGAAAAATCTCATGAATGAAAGAACTTTATGTTTTTTGCTTCGACGGAGGAAATTATTCAATTATATTAAAGGAATGCTTGGAGATGGGAATGGACTGGACACTACGTGAAGGTTATTCATGGGCGGAAGATAAGGAACACTGCGAGGAATATGGGAGGATGTTGCAAGCAGATTCTACAAAGGTCTCTCCACGAGCAAAAAAACGAGGTCTACCACAGGTTATTAATTACATAGGCTTTGTGCGCTATTTTAAGGCTAGCTTCATCTTATTTAGTTAAGAGCTGTGGATTTAATTTCCGTCCTATAGGAATAAGTTGTCAGTAAAAATGGTATTCAGACAAAACCTCAGATCAAATTTATACATTTTTTCACTATCGAAAAGGCGGATTAAATCCCAGTAGCGAAAAAAATATTTTTGAAGATAAGAATCATAAAAATGATAGCTTGTAAAAATAAATATTTATTGATATTTTTTCAGTTAGGGACACTGGGTGCGGGAAATCATTATGGTGAAGTACAAGTCGTTGATGAGATTTATGATAAATACGCGGCTAGCAAAATGGGTATTGATCATATCGGTAAGCGCCTAACCGTCTTTGTACCATTTTTTTTCCACTGAAAGTATTGTTGATATCTTAGGTTACATTAAAATTACATCGCTTCAGGTCAGGTCTGCGTAATGATACATTGTGGCAGTAGAGGCTTAGGTCACCAAATAGCAACTGATTCTTTAGTAGCTATGGAAAAAGCGATGAAAAGAGATGCTATTGTTGTAAATGATCGTCAGTTGGCTTGTGCTCGTATTAGTTCTGTTGAAGGTGATAATTAATTTATTATATTCAATATAATCAGGAAAAAAATCTAAAACATATAAGGTATTGAGATTTTTAGGTCAGGAATATTTGAAGGGAATGGCTGCGGCTGCCAATTTTGCTTGGGTGAACCGTTCTTGCATGACATTTTGTGCTCGTCAGGTATTTTACGATTCGTTATTTTTTTCCTATTTGATGTTGATTTTTTATTTGTTAAATTTGACCATTTTAATTCTGCTAAATTCAAATTATAGTATATACTATTTTCAATTTTAGTATTTGAAATTTTTTAACGTTATTCAGGCTTTCGCTAAAGTGTTCAATATGTCTCCAGATGATCTCGATATGCAAGTGATATATGATGTTAGTCATAATATAGCGAAAATTGAAGAACATTTAATTGATGGCAGGCCAAAACAATTGTGTATCCATCGTAAAGGATCAACGAGAGCTTTTCCACCTCATCATCCACTAATTCCTGTTGATTATCAGTTATCAGGTGATATAAAAAGTATTATGTTTCCACCGATCATTTCATATTTCTCTTTGGTTATTAGCTTTGATTAATTGCTGAATTAAATTTTGCAGTTAATTTATTAATTGATTATGGATCATTTCTAACTGGCTCTTCGTACTATGAAATCAAATTTATAGATAGAAGAAAATTTCAAATTTAAAGCTTTTCAAATAAATAAATTATTTTATGAATTATTGTATTTATTTGCAGGTCAGCCTGTTCTTATTGGTGGAACAATGGGTACTTGTAGTTACGTTTTAACTGGGACGCAGCAGGGCATGAATGAAACTTTTGCCACAACTTGTCATGGTGCAGTAAGAATTTTATATATTCCATTAGACACCACTGAATTCCTGTCAATAAAAAGTTTGCTTCGTGTAGGGTCGTGCTCTTTCTCGCGCCAAGTCGAGACGAAATATTGACTTCCAAGATGTTTTGGATCGTATGAAACAATTAGGCATTTCCATTCGTGTGGCATCACCAAAGCTTGTCATGGAAGAGGTTTCCTTTTTTTGAGTCGAAATATGATTTAGTCGAATGTCGTTGATTTATCATTTATCATAATCACATTTTAAAAATCAAGGATGCTATGGATAGACATCATTCTATTTTATTGCTGCTTTAGGATATTTTGACCGAAAACTAATTTAAGGCGCCGGAATCATATAAAAATGTGACAGATGTGGTGAATACTTGCCATGAAGCAGGAATTAGCAGAAAAACGGTCAAACTACGCCCTGTCGCTGTTATTAAAGGATAAAAATCTATGAACTGAGTTGATGAAAAAAAGCAAAGATTTAAAAAGCAAAGAAATGAATATATTAGTAATAATTTTCGACTTTGTTAGTATTTGTTCAATTTCTTTTGCTTTTGTTATTTGTTTTTCAATTATGCTTCATTTTCCTTTTAATTTTTTAATTTTGTTAATTTAATAATATTTAAAAAAAAACTTCGCATATTCTGCTCGCTACCATTTTGTTATATCCAATTTTTTCAATAAAAAAGAAAAATTAAAAATTTTTACGATAATTTGAAATTTTGTGATGAATATTAGGCATTGAATTTATTCTTATTCTTACATTATTTCGTGGTTTTCAAGAAATTACTGGTAAAATTAGAATTCAGGTATTTAATTATATTGAGCAAATTAATTTTTGATTAGGTGATATTTTCACCATCTATTCAGTGAAATTGGTATTTATCATCAGGTTCACATAAATTTTCTTCCTTCGATTTCTGTTCCTGATTTCGGTCATATTCATCCCGGAGATGGAGTAAGAGAGGTTCCAAAGCTGTTCCATGTTTCGCCGATACAAGAAAAACACTATGTGGGTGAAATATTTGTTCAATTGCGCTTATATTCAACTGAAAAGCGATAAATTTAATTTAAGCGATTAATTTGGCTGACGAAAGATGAAGTTTTCACATTTATAATTTTTCAATTTTTGGAAATTTTTAAGATATCTATAAATACAAACTTATTTATAAATAAAAGATTTTTTAAAGAAAAAACTGGATAGATATTATCTAAATCGTTCTTTCACAACCTTTTTTCCCATTAAATCACATTTATTTACAACTATAGTTGTCGATTTCTCTATTAGTTCCTTTTCGAAGTATTCCAATTCAAAACGAAGTGCTTTAAACTGATCCTGAAAGCATTGCTGCTCGAGTCAAAAACACAAACGTGGCAATAATCAAATAATTCTTAAAAATTTATAGTCCTTCAAATATAATTTAAAAAATATATCTAAAAGGGGTTACTTACGCTTAATTCTGAAAGTGTAGGATCAAGAACATAAAAAAGACATTGGCAACGACTGATGTGCTTTAAAAAATCGATGCCTAAACCTGTATTTAAATGAGATCCCTCGATTAAGCCGGGAATATCAGCAACTGAAATTTATCTAAGTATTTAAAAATAGTTTTATTTAAAATAGATTTGAAAAGATATAGCCACTTTTTTTAAAATTGAAATTTAAAATTACCGGCGATTTGAACATAATCGTCATAATTAACAATGCCAATATGAGCATTTAAAGTAGTAAAAGGATAACTGGCGATTTTAGGCCTCGCTCGAGATATTGCCCGTAGAAGTGATCTGAATTTTACTAAAAATTATTAGTGATTCAGTTTTTATTGAAAATTGTTAGTTTGCAAGTTATTGCAAGACATTATCGATGGAATGATGGAATGATGAATTATGTGGTTGTTTAAAACATACGATTTTCCCGTATTTGGAAAACCAATTAAACCGGCCGTAGCGATAATCCTCATTTCAACATCATAATCGAGCTAAAATTTTTTAGTAACAATATAGATCAAATACAATGCTAAGAAATATTTGGAAAATATTTCATATGAATGAACAGAATGCAATACTTCTTCGCCACGACCACCAAATTCGGCTTTTAAAGGAGTTCGAAGTGAGTTTGAAAGGTAAAATAAATTGCCATGACCACCAGCACCACCTCTAGCAGCCAGAAAAATTGAACCATGAGCTTTTAAATCTGCCACAATCTGGAAAAAAATTAGGTAAAATTAAATTCGATATAAAAGAGAAAAAACACACTATGATTGAAAATACGCTAAAAACAAACCGTATTAGAAGAAGGCTTCTTGAAAACTGTACCAACTGGAACTTTAATATAGCAGTGTTCCGCATTTTTACCATGACAACATTGACCTTTACCAAATTCACCATTTTTTGCAATGATAACTGATTTTAAATGCGATAAATCTTTTGTTGATGTATCAGCTAAAATTTTAAACTAAAAAGAATAAAAGAATAAAATTCAATTTATTTAATCCAAAAAATCCAATACCCATAATCCAAAAAACCAGTAAAAAATGAGGGCAAAGACAAACCTTGAAAAATAATGTGTGCACCATTACCACCATTTCCACCAGCTGGACCACCGAACGGTAAATTAAATGCTCTTAAAAAAGACACCATTCCATCGCCTCCATTACCTCCCTTACATTTTATTCTTTTAAAATCGATAAAAGAAGAATCCTAAAATTTCTAAAATTTTTTACGTTCATGTTATAATATAATTATTATTATGGGAAGTATAATATCTCATTTCAGAGTACCAGTATACCAGTACCAGTATCCACCAGGATTAAGCCTGACTTTCAAACCCGGGCTATGCCGATTCATCCAATGCCATATGAGCAAAATTTGTTTGTAGTCCAACAGGCGAATTCAACCAGAAATGAATTTTAGAAAAAAATAATAACTATTATTAAAAAAGTACAAAATCAGCTCGAAAAAATAGTCCGAAAATGATAAGAAAACTATAAAACAAAAAATTAGAAGATAAAGAACATGAAAATTTTAATTTCTTCAAGAAATAAAATATATTAAATAAAAGAATTTCATAAAAAAGCCAAAGCTTTCTTAAATAGTTTCCGATAAACATATCTTTCAAAGATATTTTCTGGATATAAACAAATGTTCAGATGAATAAGATAAGAAACAAAAAGAAAAATTATTAACCTTGCCAAGACAATTAACCTTCTCAGGAATTAATGGCCTTTTCGTTAAATAACGACTAATAAGTGATTTCGAAAAGAATGATAAATGATAAGATTGAAGCATTGACACATTTAGCTGAAAGCTACAAATAAACAAAATAAGACCTTAAATAATTTAAAATATTTATAATAAAATAAAACTAACTTAATTAATGAAAAAACAAAGTAAAACTGATTTATGCCAAATTTTATTAAATGAGAAGAAAAATGAAAAGGATGTTTCTTTTTTAAAGGCCCTCACCATGGTTAGACTCGCTCCACTGGCTTGTCGTATAAGACAAATTTACCAAGGAGTCGCTTAGCGATAGAAGTATAGATACCAGTCGCCAGCACCAGCCGGATTTTTTGACAGGTTTACTCCTGCGACGAGTAAAACCTCAGTAACAACTGGACATCTCACTGAGATATTTTGTCCCTTCCCTCTCTATCTCTTACAATGGTTCATAACTATCAAATAAAACAGATATCGAAAACGCTGACGATATCCTAGACGAGGAACCACAACTTCCGGTATCAAAATCAGAGCATAAGACTCTTTCATAAGACTCTTTTAGCTTTATATAATACCAGAATGGAATAAGGCCATAAATGAATTTCTATAAATTCACCCACAAACCAAGAAGAGTCCGAATTCAATTATCTCGGAGCCACTCTCATACCAGGCGTGAAACTCCACATTAGATAAATGAGCGCACTCTTTTCTCGAAGCCACTTTCAGCTTCACAACGGAAGTTCACATCTATCTGGCTGTATTATATTTGGGAAGCATTTGCCTTTGACTTAAAATATATTCTACGCCACCTATCATGCGGATAAATTCTCACACCGATCTTCGTTCTAATATCACCTGCATTGTCAAAAAATTCCAGCTAGTTAGGCCATGTTCTACCACAGGAACATAAATCTGCTTATTTGCTTAACCGTATGATGAATGGTGTCGAAAGGAAGACCAGTCAAGACCAATAAAATCAGATTTTCTCAGCGATGCATGGCTTTACCCAGTGGAACAAACAATGGTGCAACTCGTTGAAAATCCATGTTTGATTTTATTTTCAATCTATTTTCTTAAAAAAAAAATAAATAATAAAAATAATAAATAACAATAATTCTTGCGATATTTCCAATCAAAATTTAAACAAATAAAAAAACTTTAATTTTATAATTAATCAAAATTTTAATTAAATAAAATTTTATTTGAATTTACCAATTAAATTAACATAACCAAATAAAATTCTTATAAATTCAAATAATAACAAATATAAATTATAAATTAATAAAAATTCCAACAAAATTTGAAAAATTTATTTCAATTTCATTTGAAAAAAGAAAAAATCGAATAAATTATTTCCAAATTAAATGGAAAATCAAATAAAACAATAAGAAAAATAAATAAATTAAAACTATGAATTGAGCATTTTTGAAAAGACTTGTAGCAAATGAAACAATTTTCTATACAAATGGAACAATTTTCCAGGAAAATAACTTAATAATCAATCAAAATAATTATTCACAGCAATAAATTAAGAACAAAATGAGTACCCATTAATTATGAAAAACTAAAAATAGAATCAAAAATATAATTTAAAAATATGACAATTCGTATTAAAAAATATAAAACAACGAAATTTGCTGAAGTTAATTAAGAACAAACTGGAATGTTAACACTGTAGAAATATTCGACAAATGGAAAACTTCTAAAAACTTTAAGAAGTCTGACGTTTTTCTTGTTCACTCTCAATGGAAAGTCTTAAAAGACGGCACTGAGCATCATCAAGTTCAAGTTTTTGGGCAACCGCTTTAGCAGTTCTTGATGCGTTATCATTCTAAAATATTTATATTTATATAAAATATTTATATACATCGAAAGTACCGCAAATTAAACTTCATCAAAATTTCACCTTGGTTAAATATGAGTTTTATCTCGTATATTCTACCAGTATGCGAAGATTTAACGTTGCTACAATAAATATTTGAAATAAATAATAAATGAATAAATGAAAAAATAATAAATGAAAAAATAATTAACCGAATGAATAATTTTTTCGAAAAGTATTTTCCGATCTGTAAAAATTTTCATAACGAATAACGGTTTATTATTTAAATAATTTTTGGTATCGTTTGAGCACTTCTCGTCATTTTCCATTAAATCGCTTGCTTTTTCTTTACTTAACTTCTCCAACAGCCTCTTTCTTATGCTTCTACGTAATGACGAATATTCATCGTCCAAATGTGATTCCTTTAAAGATTAATTAATTTTAATTTATTAAACACGACGAAAATAAAAACAGTTTGAAAATTTCAGAAAAAAATTTAAAAAAAAATGAAATGAGAACCTCCGAATTAATCGATCCAAATGATTTATTCAAATCGCGTAAATGCGGTGGTGTATAAAGCAAAATACCAGGTGAAGGTTTTCTATTTTTTCCTTTAAATTATTCAAAATCGTTTTTAAATAATCGATTAATTTGACTAATAATTTTTTAAAAAACATAGGAATGGGGAAATAAGTTTTTTAAAAAAAACCTTTAGGAATACGGAATGAACTATTTTCACTAATAATTTTATGATATTCATCCCTGTAAATTGCTGTTTTTATTAATTTTCATTTCGTAATTAAATTTGCAATTATTTAGATTTAATTTTTATTAGTTTCAATTTTTCAGTTCAAATTTTTATGGTTTTCACAGAATTATTTACTAGTGGATATTTGTTTAAAATTGTATTTATTTAAATATTAAAATATAATGTTATAAATAAAAAAAATAAAAAAATACCTATCAATCTGATTTCTAATGATACTTTTGATAAAACCATGTTTCATATCGAGATGAGGTTTTATTTCATCTCGTTTTTCGTTGATTTCTTTCTTATTATTATTTATTAAATTTTTATTTACATCCGTATTTGGACATTCCATCATCTGGAATTTTATATTCTCCATGAAATTCAACTATTAATTTAATAAATTTAATAAATCCTGAAATTCAGATTGAATAAAATAAACGTCGAGATTTTCGAAGACCACTATCAAAGAGAAATAAAATGGATAAAAAGAAATAGATAAAGGTAAAACAGCGGAATCTGAAACAGGGACGGCAAGCGAATGGATGTTGCTCTCATTATCCAGAAAACGCTTCCGATCAGCAGTTCCAGACAGGAACAAATCTATCTTTGAAAAATTAGACTGCAAAAATGTTGGCTGCAAACCTATATTTCCCGCAAATACCAAAGCTAATCTAATCAGATATGGTGGCTATTTTTATTCAATTCGCAGAAGAGAAAAATAAATAAGCAAACGAAAAAATTTAATAAAAAAAAATATTGCATAAGAAACTGCGAAATAATTTAAAAAATAATCATCAAATATATTTAAACATTTTTATGAAATATAATCTCTTCTAATAGACCATTTTACTTCTACTTGTTCCACTGGTTACAGGAAAGGTGAGAATGAATGCGACGAAGAGGAATTTGCGGACGCCTGGGATCCTTTTTCCAGTTATAAAGGAGGTGGGAATGAATGCTCCTCGACAAAGAGGAATTTGCGGACGCCTGGAATCCATTTCTTTCATGACCGAAATATATTCGCTCAGACGATTTAACCCACAATTTCGACAAAAACTCGCCCATTTCTTTAAAAACTATCAATTTTTGCTTACACATTTATATCCACGATATCCACGATAATATCAATAAACCACGACATAAAAACAAGTTAGAAACGTAAGCCGCCTTTTAGGATTTCGTACGCGTTTTAAGAGTCGGCTTGCCAAGATTTGAGCGATGATCCTTGAAAGTGTCAGTCGCATTATGAAAAAAGCTAATGATGGAATAATTAGTTCGAAATAAACCGGTCGCGTTGGCGATTTCTGAAAATAGGGGAAACAAAGCAAACTGCCTCAAATACAAAACTGCGTAGAAAAGCGGCAAATGGCGCTAATTGCACAATTAATTGCGCAACATGTATGGACTCGTTCGCATCCGAAAGGATGTGGTACGGTAGTGCTTGGATGGTACCAAGCGTCGTGGATTCGGTTCCAGTCTCTTGGCAAGGACAGTGCGAATGGCGCTGCGAATACAGCTTTCAAGTGACTTCGTGGCAGAGCCCCGTCCTGCCACTCAGTGCACCTAGTCAAGTCGGAAGTAGTCGGTCAGTGGTGTGAATAATAAAGCAGTCAATTCATTAACGATGAAATGAGTATTAAAGAGGTGTAACGTGGTGCAGAGTCGTTTTAGTGAGGAGTCCAAGCGCATAATGGCGAGAATGCAGAAATTTTATTGATCGAATCGGAAAATTAATCAGATTTCTGGACGTAACAAATTAGCCAATTGTTGCATAGCAAATGAAAAGAAAATGAAAAAATTCATTTGAAAAAATTTCAGGAACTAAACGATAAAAAAAATAATTAAAACAAATAAATCATTGATAATATCAATTAGTAATGATAAGTAATTGTAAAAAAAAAATATAATAGTAATAATAATATTGGCAATATTGAAAATAATATTATGAGAACAATAATAACATTAATAATAATAATAATAATAATAATAATAATAATAATAATAATAATAATAATAATAATAATAATGATAATAATAATAATAATAATAATAATAAATAACAACAAAAGTAATAATAATGTATAATAATATAGCAATAATAATAATATAATAATAATAGAACAATAATAATAATAATAACAATAACAAAAATAGCAACGATAATAAAATAATAATATTATTTTAACAACAATATTTGGAATAATATTTATTTAAAAAATATTAGTAATAATAAAAATTTCTATATAATATTTTTTAGGTTACATACTTCCATATAATAAATAATTTGCTAAGAATATTTTCGCGGTATTTGAAGGAAAAGAATTTATATTCTGAACTGATAAGTGATATCCGAGTGGTGATTTTGCCGACTTATTTGTACTTATATCACTGAATAATCGAGGCACTTAGCGAAGCACTTTTAAATTGTCTGCTAGTAAATTTTAAATGACTGATTAAATGTTTATATTATTAAAAAATTTATTACAAAGGCAATATTGTCTAATGCCGACATTATTATTACTACGGTAAGAGGGCTCTTATGAATTATTACCTGGGAGTTCGTCATGAAATTATGGCTTTTTTTCCAACAGCGCTCACCATTTCCGGTTGGGCTCGCTCTGCGAATTTGTCGCACCAGACAAATTTTGCCAGGGAGGCAAAGAAAGAAGTACAAGTGGATCGCCAGCATTGGTTTTTTTCCTTGAAGGAAAAGTTTATTCTCGTCGGTAGCAAGAACGGCAATCACAGCCACTAAGCCTCCATGTTATGGCTTACTGTAATTAAATGGAAAACAATGATTATTTTTCCAATTCATTTATCTGGCCTAAATCGTTTAACCCCCTTCATCTACTAAGTACTGAGTACCATTTGCATCATTTTTGGTTTGAATGGTTCCATTGACTTTTTACTAATTGGCAAACTATAAATTGGCTTACGAACTGTTTATCAATAAAATTTTAAAGATATTATGCAAAGCGTCATTATTGATCCTCAAAAAATTTATAAAATTTTATAAAAATTAGAGGATTTGCAAAAAAAAAAAAAATTTCAGCTTAATTTCCAGTAAGTTATAACTGAATTTGTCTGAATAATCTATATATATCGTTGGCTTAAAACATACGTAAGCGATAAGTAAGCGATTGGTACTCATCCATACTCGTTTAGTCGCCCTTTGCTGGCTGTTCGACCGAGAAACCAAATAAAACCAAATAAATCGAACATTTCAGATAAAGATGATAAAAGAATTTTATCAGATTTAATAAGGTTGATGAACATATATGCAGCAAGGTCATAATTCGATGAAGCGGTCATTCGCCCAACCTTGGTCATTATTGGTCATCGCCCTATATAAGCCTTAACTCCCTTTTCTCCCTTTTCTCCCTTTAATGCGCTCTTCATCCAACTCCACCGCTCCACCGTTTCTGGCCCTATCTATCGTTTATCGCAGGTCGGATTCCTTCTTCGCCAGCAAATCACTTAAAAATCAACCATCGCATTCTATTTCCCAATAGCGACAAATTTGCGGCTTATGATAAGACATGAGGTGATATGATAAGGTGCAAGTGTACTTTATCACCTCCACATATTCTTTTTTTAATACAATTTCCTCAATCATCTTAATTAATCACTTATTTTTGTATTTTCTGCGTTTAAAAAAAAATTTTTTTTTCTTCTTACCATCTTTTAGACGAAATTGATTTTGACCTTCAATTATTTAATTGATTATCGTCATTAGATAGTAACGGGCGGAGCAATTTTTCAACCATTATGTCCATACTTTCATGATACTAATCAGTAGGAATGAACGAATTCGTTGATCGGTCAATGTCATTGATTCCTTATTCCTCCTCCTCTCATTCCTTCTCTTATTCCTTCATTCCTTCTCCACATCTTTCTAGGTGTTGTCTTTTTCTTTGGTTATTTAGCTATATGAGTGTTAGTTATGGTTTCATAAAGCTAGATTACCAAAGCTAAGCGCAATGCACGTTTACTTATTTATTCATGATTATTTCATCTACAGTATCCACTCTATTATTACCGTTAATCGTCGCTATAGAGCGATAATTAATATTTATTTAAAAATTTCATATTTATTTTAATAATTAATTTACTCTCACAATGTGGTAAGTTATATCGAATTGATTCCCGAATCATTTTCTCACCGAAAATCTCTACCAAAATTTTCCCTCGATTTATGCACTCACCAGAGGAAATCTATTCGGCCAAAAGAAAGCATTCATTCACCCGGGAAAAGGGTTTCGCCCGGGGAGATATATCCGCCTGAGGCGCGTTCATCTTTGGGAATATTTACCCGAGCGAATTCACCCGAGGAAATGTTTCGACGAGAAAGTTCCAACTAAAATAGAGAATAAAAAAAATGGAAATTTAGTGTATTTTCTTTTTCCCATAACAAACTTATGAACTAATAATAATAATAATTTCTTGAATGACAGTAAAATACCGTAGAAAATGGTGGAAACGACTTTTTGTAGTGAAGTCTTCGTGATGTGAAACAATTTCATAAATCATATCACGAACGGTTTTAACGTTTTCAGATATTTCTTCTCCATCTTTTTTTTTTCTTTGCTACAAGGTGATAAGCGAATGATACTTTCATATGGAATTTCTCATTTCTAATTTGATAAAAAACTAAATTATCTCAAGATTTCGTCGAAATGAAACTAGGAGAAAGGGAGAAATGTAGGACACCGGACGAGACGCTTCAACTCATTTATCAGTGCAACTAGACAAGCCAAGAAATAAAGGGAATTGCCGGGAGAAGAAAAAGAGATTAGAATATATTCGAAGATTTGCCGGTTGCTGAAGGATCGCCGATCGTTCAATTTGACGGAATTCGCGAATCTCACACAAGTATCGTTCACTTAGAAAATATTCTCCATCTGGGCCGACAGTAACCCAGTGGTGTAATGTCCAGTTTCATGAATTTAATTTCGAACTCGTAATTATCGGAAACAAAGCTGAAATCATCAAAAGCAGAATTTGGCTGGCACCACAGTACCAGCACCTCCTCTTTGCCCCAAGTGATTCTATGCTAAAGTGGTTAGTCGCGAGTGGATTCGGTTTGACCAGAAGTGATCAGCGCTATTCCAATAACATTAATGAAACTAATATTTGCCGAAATCAAATCACTTTTTGAATCAGAAAAAATTCTTCGAGTACCATTCAATAATGACAAAAGCACTTCGTCAATGCTAAACACCCAAATATTTTAAATCTTTAAAAAAATTTTTTAAATATCCATAATTTGAAAAATTTTAAACTTTTTAGTGAAGCAGTTTTCATTTTAATATTTTTTAATAATTAATAATATTAAAATGAAAATATTTAAAATAAAATTTAATTGGTTGGTAATGAAGAATAAAAATAATTTTTTTCGTATCGTTCGATGAAAGCCTTAAATGATGTCAAAAATAATCAAATGAACAATTTCTCAAATTAACCGGTTTTGCTTTTCTAAATAAATTCTCTTTTTTTCTTAATTTTACATTTTTGTATGCTTTAATATTAATCAATTTTGTTGATTTAGCATTTTGTCGACATAAAATTTAAATTTTCGTCAAAAATTTCACCGCTTTTTTTTTTTTTTTTGAACGATAATAAATTGTTAAACGAATGAACCTAAGAAATGAATAATTAAATAATCGATGTCGAATAATTTGCAATAAATAATAAAAATGGAATGAGCAAACTTGCCAATTCAATATATTTTTGTCATTAACACATACCAAATAAAAAACGAACTACAACTAAATATTTCCTAATTTAGCAGTAGCAAAATTAAAAAACATTGAAGTGCACTTAATGATTATTAAATTAAAATTTCTCATAAATCAATTAATTAATAAATTAATAATAATTAATATCAATAAAATATAATTATTCTTAAAATCTTTTTCATGTAAAAAAAAAAACATATAAACGATTCAATTTCTGATATTTTCTTCGATCGGAAGAATCGTGAAATTTAAAATTGGGCGAGATGGCCTATTTCGACTGAATACAACACGAAGAGGAAAATCAACCAAAAACGAAACTCGCCGCTAAAAATCCAACTTATACTTTTACCCTTCAGTCATTCTAGTTGCCTCATAGTCAGTGGAGAGAGCCAAATCCAGAAATAATAATTACTTTTCGACATCCATTTTAAGCTAATTAGGTGATTCATTCACTTTTTTCCAACTATGCAAAAGTATTACAATCACTACTTGCAATATTAGTTAAAAGCAAAAAAAATCCAGCAAAAATCGAATTTAAAAAATTATAGGAAACTTTTAAATCGCTGAGATTTGCAGACAGATAAAACTCGTTTTATAAGATTAGTGCTGGCGTCTCACTTAAAATTCTACCGCTAAATGACTGACCCCCTAGCAAAATTTATCCTCTATGCAGTCGCAGAAATCCGATTCCTAAACAGAAACGATGAGTACTGTGGGAAAAAAAAAATCGGTGAAACGAAAATTATGGAAAAAAAAACGCACAGATTTATGGTCTCAGCTCGCCGATTTTACTTAAAATTTCATTCAAAAAAAAATTAAGTTGTCGATTTTACTCGCACAGTTGAATTCTCGACATTTTCGAAATTTTTTTCTAAGAACAAAATTTCAAAATATCGACGATTTGGTTTTTCTTCTTTCTTTGCAAATATTCGGGCATATTTTAGAAAATTCTCGCGAGACAAGCATATTTATTTTGAATGGCTGGTTGGTTGCTGCTCGGATTATTATCGCCCTAATGGCCAGCGTTGCTCGCCGAAGAAGAAGTACACTCGGCATTAAGAAATCTAAACAGCACTGGATTCACCTATATTTCCATCCTTCGAGACGACAAAGATTTCATAATGCACCCATGGCGATGATCGCGGTCACCGTCACCAGAACGCTTACAATTTACATTCGCTTCCTTAAGATAAATTAACTTTTGTATTAAATCTATTTCCTTTCTATTTTTTATTAAATATTTCAAAAAAACAAAATTTTTAAAAAATGAAGAAAATAAATTATTGAAAAAGGCAAACTTTATTTGCTAATTCAACAACGATTAATATAAATAAAACAAAAAATAAAAAACTCTTCGATTCGAGAGAGAAATAACTTCATTATCAGCAACATTATCATTACAATGATTTGTAAAATCATTATAAAGTATGGCGCTCCTCGATTATAAATAAGTGAATATATTATTAATAAACAATAAAATAACAATAATGAGCAATTACCATTGACAATAAAATTTTCTCGCTTTAATTTATGAAAAGTGACGATTTTTTTATTAAAAAATCTTGAAATATATTTAAAATATTTTGCTTTGAAAAGCAGTAAAGTTAAAGTTTATTGTCAATTCTGAAACTATTTGGGTAACAATATCATTGCAGTAATTTTATTACCAAGAAACTCGTCGAGAAGATAAGACCGTACAATTAGCACCAACCTATAATCCTAATCACCTACTGATAAACTAATAAATTATACAGCCTTGTAACCTAAATAATATATAAGCAATCTATATAAAAAAAAAATGATCGATATTTTCAATACTAATGAGACTGAGAAACAATTGAAGTAATAGCTAGAACTATATAATAAGTAATCAAAAGAATTAACGTTCACTAAAAGTATCAATCTAAAAGAACAAAAAAAAACTAAATTAAAAACAATTTTAAAAAAATATACCAAAGCCAAATTAAAATCTAAAATCAGAATCAGAAAACTACGATTAGAAACTTTTGAATAATCGACATCCTCAATGAAATAAGGCAAAAATTAGCAATGAACATAGAGGTAGTAAACATTTAACACAAAACAGTGTGAGGAAAGCTCGATGAGGTAAAAGAATTAGAGGCATTTTCGATAGAAACCAGCAAAACGAATAAAAAAAAATTAGAAAAGAAAGAGAAGAATAAAGGAAAAAATTAAATTATTAGAAATTAAATTAAAATAAATTAGTATATTAAATACAGTCAATTTAACAAACATTATATTAAATAAATTATTTAACAAGAAATATTAGGAATAAATCAAACATAGAGGAATAATAACGACTGATTCTCCTAGCTGTTATTAACGATAAGTAACGAATAATGAATAAGTGTTTTGTTTGCCAGTCTTCATCTAAATGCAACAATTAAGATAAATATAAAAGTAACTTATCGAAATCCGAATCTTCTTTAATAATACTGCAACACAGTACTATTAAACTTCGATTAAAAAGGAAAAACGAGGCGAACCTTGGTGAACGACTAATAGACACGAATACAACTACTTCCAAAATCAACTACATAAATTAATCCTTCTGGTGAAACACACAAATCAGTTGGACGTTCAAGCACAGGATAAACCAATTCAGAATTGGAGTGGCACAAGACAGAGGTTTTGTTCGCTGAAGAACCAAAAGCAATCGCATTTTCCAGAGAGGACGAAATTTTCAATGACGGACTCAATGGACCACCAAAACATGCGATACAATTCATTCCTTCATTCTTCAGCACCTATAATTAATTTTAATTAATGATTTAAAGTTTACAGATATTAGAAATAATATTTTACAATAATAATATAGATATTTAGAAACAAAAGTTTAACCAAGTGCGAAAAGAAAAACAACTGTAAATTAAAACATAATGGAAAATTTCTTTCGATATTTAAAAAAATCCATCACTCTTCTTCCATTTTTTAAAATGCCGAATTTTGCGGAATCTTACTTGTACACGATTATTCCGGGAATCGCAAACAAGTATATATCCTTCATTATCAACAGTCACTCCTTGAGGTCGACAAAAAAAGCCTTCGCCATTGCCTTCACCACCATAACATTTCATTTCGCAAGAATCACGAGATGACACAACAGCCAGACGATGATTATTAAAATCGCTATAAAGAGAGCATAAAAAATCATGAGAAAAAAAAACAACAACAATAAATAAAAATTGGTAAAATTGGACCAAAAAGTAGAGATATTTGAATGAAAAATATTCAACACGATAAAATGTTACGTAATAATAAGTTGACCATCTTGTAGATAACAAATACCACGAGGAGAATCTAAATTTTTGTAAAAAACCGATGTATCAAAGCCACATTTGCGAATATAGTGTCCTTGTGGAGAAAATATCTAAAAAGAAAAAAAATAACTGGTTTCTGAAAAAATATAAGACTAATAAAATATGACAAATCTTAAATTTTTGATGTAAGGATCTCTCGCTAATATCAAATCACTATTACATTACTGCTCGGACTTTTAGCTTATGTTTATGATATGGTAACAAAGATTATATGAATTTTCAATTAGTTCTACATCAGTTCTTGCAGACTCTAAGCTGCCACTGCCACATACAAAAAACTACCTGAACTCTGTGATTGCGAGTATCACAAACAGCAATCTGATTCAATGAATTAACAGCAACACCCCATGGATAATTGAACAATCCTGTGGTACGCCCTCGATCACCAAATTTTAGTAGGAAATCACCTTTTTCATTGAAGACTTGAATTCTATGATTATCTTTATCAGCAACAATTATTTCATTCTAAAAATCGCATAGAACATTTGACGAATAGTATTGTTGAAAAAATAAAAATATGGTTTCATTACTGTTTTTCTAAAAAGGGCAGATGAGTTTTAAAGGAGTTTAAGGAAATATAAAAGGGAATAAAAGTCTAAAATTAAGGCAGCGAAATGAGATTCACATATACCTAATTGAATGAATATATATTAATGCCGTCTTTTAAAAATGTGCATAAGAAAAAATTCGAAATGAATTCCTGATGAAGGATATAAAATTTCAATACTTTTCGGAAAAAATTATGTTCAGAAATGCAAATGCAAAGATATTGATTTATATAAAAAATAAACTGAGCTGCTTGCTGCTTACAGACAGATAGTCGAAAATAAGCTAAGCGAATATAAATATAAATAAACTACCAAAGAATTAACAGCGATCCCAGCAGGTCTATCAAACTGGCCCGGCCGAGAACCTGGAGTTCCAAATTTATGCAGAAAATTGCCATCTTTATCAAAAATCTAAAATATTTCCGAAACCTGATCAAAAACAAAACAAAAATGACTTCTGAAACATAACTAAATCTAAAGGACATAAAGAAATATCTTTAATTAATGCCCAAAGAGATACATCGATAGCTTAATGAAATAGTTACCATCGACTATAGAAAATAGTTCGGATTCGAATCTAACCGATGCATTCCTCATTCGAATCTAACCGATGTATTTCGTCTCCTGATAATTTTGCAGAAAGGCAAAAGCAAAAGAATATAAAAAAAAAAGAATCCCTCATTAATTTGCTGTTCAGTTTGGAGTGTCGATGATGAGACATTCTGCAGGAACAAACCTATCTTTCAATTCCGGGTGATGCTGGCAAGTTATCTGTACCTCTGTATTCCTATCGCCAAATGATTCCCTAACAAAATTTTTTTCTAGTCCGATGAGCAGCGAATAACCACCAATGATAAATCCTCTTTTAAAAAACCCGAAGAAACAAATCTCTATTTAATAAACATCATTTAATTACAATCAACTGATTTATAATTATTCTGCTTATAGGACCTGACTAAGTTCGAAGAAATTCTTGGAATATAAAATCTATTTGCAATATTACCTGTATTCGATTATTACTACGATCTGCTACAATTATACGACCTTTCAGATCACAGCATATTCCCCATGGTCGACAAAATTGTCCATCCCCGCTTCCTTCGCTTCCAAAAGAGAACAAAGGTCCCGTGCGAGCTATCAGAGAATAATTTCGTCCTTTTCGAACATGAATGAACGTAGGACAACCACTTAATATTTCGATTATGAAGGCAATTTCATGGTTCATGAGGAGGATAATATGGATAGTAATGGTATAATATTAATCCTATAATATATTTTCGATGCTATTCCATTATAACTATTGTTAGGCTCCAAATGCTTAATAATGAAATTGGTTTTTACCACACTCATACTTTCCAGATAAAATTAGTTATTAATTTATAGATATATTCATTAAATTCCTTCATATTTCTGTTATTGTTAATGCTATTGTTTATATTTCTATTATTGTTAATGCTATTGTTTTTCACTGTAATTCATTTTATAAGAAAAAAGAAGCAAGAAAGTAAAACGATTCTTACCAAATCGAAAGGCCTCCGACTGTCACATCCAGAATATAATTGTCTTCTTCAGTAGGATAATATTTTAGAGAAAATAGTCCACCTTCACATTCACTGCAAACATTGAATTTCATACCAAAATTAGCGTAATAAATATTAAATTGAAAACAAATATAAATGAAACCTAAAAAACAAATTTTTAAGCCTATTACCTCAAGCTAAAGACGAAGTCTTAAGGTCGATTAAAAATCTAGCAAGTCAATTCTTTCTAAGATCTAAGCGAGCATCTGAGTAAAATATGGACGCAAAAAATTAATGGTTATTAATGGTTATTAATCAATAAATTCAAGAAAAGGAAATCGGACCGTATAGATTCCCTAAATCCACGGATTCTCAGGAGTGGGAAGCAAAAGGGTTTTTTGGGATTCTTAAGGCCTGAGAACTATAGAGGAAAAATAATAATAATCTTAATAATAATAATAAATATATAATAAATAATAATAATCATAAAAATAAATCAAACTTAAATTCACTTTTTGACCAACTGAAATGTGGAAAGGATATTCACTTTTTGAATAAATTCTAATGAAAAAAAAATTCATTAAAGACCATTTCATCTCAAAGAAAAGGTTATTTGAAAGATCAGAAAGCTGATTTCGCTTCTCTTGACTATACAATTAATAATTAATTAAATGCATGAGTTGCAAAAATTAGGAACTTACGTGGTGTGAATTGGAACTTTTTGACCCATTGAACCAATGAGAGAAGCATCAAATGGTGGATTTGATGAAACACAAGTATTACCACAAGCATCTCGAATCTGCACATAAATAGTGCAAATACGATCACGTATCGCACGTCGATAGTTCTCTCCGACGATGTACGACATTGAAGCACAAGCACCACTATCAAGTTCGCCGAGACTTCGCATTCTATTAAAAGTAAATTAGCACATTAATATAATTTAACATAATTTAATTCGACATATCAGCTAAGATAAACTTTATGCTTAATATTGCCATTTCCTGTTAGAATGATCAAAAGTAACGAAAATCTTTCATGAAAATTCATAAATTTCCTCAATGTTCGCTAAAAAATGTGTCGAAATATTACCGTTAACATTTAAAGTTAATGTATATCTGCGAACATAAATGTTTAGTACTTGTTAATTAAAGAGCTATCAGGAGGAATGAATTTTATTAAATCCGTTTCACATGGTGACAAACAAATACTAGGCTGTCGCAATATAGATAGTAAAGTATCAAACGATATTCGCATTTGACCATTCTCAATTTCATTATAAGAAGTGGCTGCAAGTTCAGCAGTCTAAAAATATATATATATGTATACAAAATTAAATAAAAAATGAATTTTGAAAAAGAAAATATAAAAAAAATTATTAATGAATCGATTAGAAAAAAACAATCGTAAAAATTATCGTTGATTAATTATATAATTCATATAATATATAATTATATTAATAATATAATAAATTAATATAAATTTAAATTGATCAATTGATGTATTTCAGGAGAAACATAAATTTCTAAAAAATATAAAAAGGACCTTCAATGCTTCTTTCAAGGAAAACAATCGCTGATTAATTCGTTCGCCTTGCAACTTTAATGAGGTTAATTTTGCTTGACGTATTGTATTAACTTTTTGTAACAAATCTCTTTTCCGCTCTTCCAATGCAGTTATATGCAAATGAATTACAGAACGCAATTCACGAACCACAGACTTAACTAATAATATAATTAGGATAGTATGCATTTGCATAACTACAAATTTTATAGAAGGATAAAACTAAATAAATAAAAGAATAATCGCATTAATAATAAAAATAACAAGAGCGAAATCTAAAATTTCAAATGAAATAAAAAAATCTAAGGTTTTTAGATTCAACAAACCTGCACTGATGCTTCCACGCGTTCCGACATCATGCAAATAGCCAATAAAGCATCTTCCAACTTTTTTTGATCATGTTTTGAACTATTTAAGAGATTAAGTAATGAATTGCGTATTTCACCATAAGGAACAAGCTGATGTCTGCAATGCTGACCAATACAAAATAAGCATAGGCCTACGTTACCACACGTTACGCATATACAAAATAAAGTCGAATTATGAGCTCCACAAATCTCATTTTCGGTTGTGCAATCAATTTTAAAACGACCACTGTCCACAAGAAGCTACAAGAAATTATTTGAAAAAAAAGTAACAAAAGGAAAAAAAAAGCAAATTAAGCAATTGAAAACTAAAAAATATCATAGAAAATATTACCATAGAAATAAAAGGAATTAAAAAATAAATTTTCTGGGTCAAATTAATCAAAAAAGCTTAGTGTTCAGTGAACTGAACAGAGATCGACTCGAATGCTGATTTAAATGCTTTAAATATAATATATTTGAAAACCCAAAAATATTTCTTGCATAAATTTTCGTTAAAAACAAATAAAGAATTAAAAAAACCTGAGACTCATTAATAAATGCCTGCTGAGGCTGCATAATTTTTATAAGGCTATGTTGGCGAGTTATACGCACACGAAAATGAGCAACAACACATTCATCACATAATGTCTCATCACATTCAAGGCAACGCATTGTAGCTTTAGCATTTTCCTAAATATTATACAATAATTTTTTTCTTTTTTTATCCTAAATTTCATCTTATTAAATATTATTATTACTTTCTCTACTTTTCCTTTGCATTACTTTTACTTTATTTATTATTTACTTAGTTTATGTGCCATTAAATGATTTCTCATTTAATTCATAATTTTGTTTTATTAATTTTTAAATATTTATTTATAAATATCTAATAACCTCAGCACACATGGTGCATCGAGAATAACTAAAGTGAAAGGGAGCTCGTATTTCAGCTTCAGGAACTGTAAGCCAATTTATTTTGCTTGCTGGCACTGATTGTCGATTCACTTCTTTGGGCGATACATTTTGTGCTACAGCATCAGTTGCTTTCACGGGAAGAAAACATTTTGCTGTTGTCGTTGTTGTTGATTGTTGAATTGGTGAACAAGCTAACTGAAAAAAGAATTTTTTTAAAGAAACACCTAAGTCCAAAATATATTAATCTCTGGCAATCTGCCATAAAAAACAATCTTGTGCAATTGTCGGTGAAAGAATTATTTAAAAGTGCAGTAAACCAAATGAATAAGAAGCTGTGCATATTGTTGTAAAAAGAAAATAATATTTGAAAGATTAACCGATGATAAATGAGGTTCATTTTTGATTGATCCTATCGATCCAGAAGTATTCCACAAAGAAAATAAGGAAGACAAATCGTCATCAAATGAGGTGACATTAAAATTGAGGTTGAGATCTGAATGAGATGATTCAGGGAAGAGTGTCTCACAACGCGACGACGATGAACCAACACTTGCCGTTAAATAATCATTGGAACATAGTGGACAACGTTGAGTTGTATTCACCATCATCGACAAATCACACTTAGTACAAAACCTTAAATTTTTATATTTAATATTTATTTCCACTTATTTTCTCTTTTTCATAAAATTCATTTTAAAGTTTCCTAATCTTCGAAAAATATTTTGAAGTGATAAGTCAAAACATAAGATTCAAAGAAGCTAAGTTTTTATTACTACTATTACTATTGATGATATTGGTAAAAAAGGATCTAACGATATTTAAGGCCTAACACTGGATCGATAGGCTTGGAAATACCTAATTTACCTTAGGACCGAGAGGCTTGGCAATATTTCATCATCCAAGAGGCCAATAAAGCCAGCCAAAGAAGAAGGGCAGAAATGCTAAGAGAGGATCATTAAATAGTTAAAACGACAATAAAAAAAATAAAACCTATGCTTGCATGGAAATAGCTTCGAAAAAAAAATTTCTTTCTTATTACAAGAACTACAGAAATATTTCATTGGATCATCATCACCATCATTATCATTATTATCATCGTTGTTATCACTGTTATCGACACCATTAATTTTTTCGCATTCATTTATTGCTAACGATGATAGCTGCTTTTCCAATATCTAAAAACTCTCAAAAAATTCCTTTATTTCAGTAATATTTATTTTATTTTTTTAAATTAAGAAAAAAATAAAATTGTTTGAATAAATATTTATAATATTTTTAATAAATAATATTTAAATATTAAAAAAAAAACAACCAACCTGACTCGAATTATTTATTAAAATAGAATTATCACAATTATTATTGTCCATATTTTTTCTCATTATTATTTTATTATTTTCATTCATCATTAATAAATATCTATGAACACTTCTCCCCTTCCTGAAAATTACTTTTTTCCGAGATTTCCTCAATTCCTTCCTCCCTGATCCTTCCCGTTCCTTCTCAATTCCTTCCCCCCACCACACACCAATCCTTCTTTAATTTTTCTCATAGTCATTCTACGATTAATAAAAAGCAGCTTTATATTAATTACGCCACGCAGCTTTCACCGTCTAAGCACGAAATGATTTGTACTTTTGATTTGCTAAGAGCAAATCCAAACTCGACTTTAAGTAAGCCTGGCCGCGTTACTTCCCCATATTATGGCCCTCTCGTGTGTCCGCTTTCTGTCGTTCATAATTTCCTCCTCTTTTCTCTCTTCGCCCTTCGTTTCCCCTTCCCGCATATTGTTCTTAATTTCTAATCATAACCTCTTCCTCCGTTATTCCTTTTCTAAATTTTTACAACAAATACATTGGCAGCTAAACATTGGGCCGTAATTCCCACATTGGGACCGTATTTTCCACGACTTTATTGGGTGATATTATCATATGATTCGTTTTTTGTCATTAATTTGTCAGCCATTAATTTGTCGTTTTTATAAAATTTTCGTTAATTTTAATTTTAATTAAGGGGAAAAACAATAATTTTTATAATATTTTATTTAATAGTGATTTCAGCGTTAAATTTTTTATTTTAAATTTTTTCGAAAATTTAATTTAATTTTAATTTTATATAAAATTTTTATTTATTAGTTTTAGTAACAAAAAAAATATTTTTAAAATATTTTTTTCGGTTTTTTTTGAAACTTTTATTTATTTAAAGTTTTTTTTAAGTAATTGCAGCAGTTATTTTGAATATTTTTACATTCGTAAATAATTTTTAATATTTTGCAAATAAAAAATAAATAATTTAAATAATAATTGTTTAGGGAAATGTTGGAATTCGAAATAATTCCAGAAAACTGTCTGCGCAATAAAGAAATCGAATTTTGGCTGGGAATGCCCGTTAATCAAGTTATACAATCACTGCAAAATGTCGCACGTCTTATCACAAATATAGAAATTTCTCATCTACCGAAGGTTATCCTTTTTTTGGGTTCCATTTTCATTGGATTAAAGAATTGGATTAAATAATTTCTGCGAAATTGCAACGAAATAAACAAACCAATTTCGGCGATTCAGTGGCAAAGTCTTTGCTAATATAACGAAAGTTCTTAGCTCGGATTTGAATCGGATTGGCGCATCGGCCAAACGACGAAAGCAAATGCAATTTTGGGATCGGATAAATCGAAAACAGACCAAAAATCGGACTCGAACTTGCGATTAATCGAAGCTTAAAAAAATTTTCAACACTCAAAAAGATGCGTATGAAAAAGCGCAACAAGAAAAGCGCACCGACCTCAAAAAATAGCTTTTGATTTCGTCGTTCGGTGACATTCTGGTGATTTGGTTTTTTTAGTAGATTTCTCGGAAATCCGCGCGTTTGGTGCATAGAGAAAAATTTACAGCTTTGTTTTTATTACTCTTTTGCTGATATTTAGCATTTCATTCATGAATATAGATAGTAAATCATAAAGCAAAATATTGTCATTTAATATTGTTAGCCGTGGCTAATAATATTTTTCTTTCGCATTGAAATTCATAGGAAATTCAAATTTTTTAGAAAAGGATTCACATATTTAAACGAGTTGCTGAAGAGACCTATCGCACTAAAAAAGTTTTCTCCTTCATTTTCTTTTTGTAACGAATCAATTTTAAGAATCCGTTATCACAGGATATTGCTATCCGACTAACAAAAGATGGCATCGCACTCTATTTCGAACCAAATTCTCAATTCCTTAGGGTATTATTTCTCATTTAATGCAAAAAGTTTATTTTGCTAAATGTAAGAAGAATATATTTTGTTTTTTGTTGACATTTTTCCAATGGATAATTTTAGGAAAAAGGAAAAATTTTTTTTGACTGTAGAATATATAAAAAAATAGTGTTAGTTATAATTGGTGTAAAAATTTATTATTATGGTGATTGTGGATTATGTGGATAAAATTGAGAGAGATTAAATATTTGCTTTCCTTTTTATTTCTTTTTCCTTTTTATTCCTTTTTTCTACCACTTTTTTATCTCATTTGTCTTATGTTGTACCATCCTCGACCTTTTTGCTATAAGCAGCAATTTAGTTGGTCGGTGTCTTATCGCATAATCTTTCCTTACTTTCATATATTCTCCCACTTACCCGTGGCATTTCTAATCAAACAATAATTACATAAGAAAAATTTACAGTAAACATAGGAAATTTGGGAATATGTCTCAAACATTGCTAAATTTTCAGTATATCGAAGTTTATGATTTATCGAATATCATTCTTCGTTATGGGTTAGTTAATTATTTCTAGTTCATTCATTATTCAAAGTACGATTCCTTTCTGGTTTAAATGGCTCAACTAATTGCTAGAATGAAACTGCTTTCACCTGAGAGGATAGAGATGAAGATAATTGCTCTATAGCCACTTGGGTTTCACTCAGTTATTCAATGAAAAATGTATACATATGATAATGTATTGCAGAAACAATATATTTTCAAAACCAGATGATCCAGCGGATATAGTGAAAGTGGAAAAATGTTTTGGTGCAACAAAACCTGGAGGTATATTTGAAAAAATTGCTAATTAATTGTTTAAAAAATAGATTAGCTTGCTTATTAACAAAGAATATTATAAATTCTTTCTGATATTATGAATTAAATTTTGTGTTAAACTGTTTAATATGATTCTATTTAATATACATTGTTATATAAATTGTTAATATAATCAGCAAATTCAGTTTATGACGATAATTTGGGGTCATATGAACTCAGTTGGAATGGTTTATTATTCAGTTTTTCAGCTGCAAAGGAGTTGTTTACTCGTAAGGTGTGCAATAGAATTTAATTTCTTTGCTTTCAAAAAACTATTTTTTTTAAATTTAAATTCTTAGACAGTTCAAATAATAATGATAAAATAATAAAGTAATTTTAGATGTCAGCACACAAACAAACGGCTGGGCTAAGTTCTTTATCTTTTGAAGGTACTCGTCCTTCATTCTCGAAGATGATACTTTTCAAAGGAACTCATTCTTCTCCAAAGTGACGCTTTTCATTTTGACAGAAGAAATAAATTTCGAAAAAATTTTACGATTTTAATTATACCTTTTCGAATTTTAATTTAATCTAAGAATATTTTCAGAGTACCTTCAATCCCTAAACAAATATATTGTGGTTTGATTTTTAGTACATCGGTGGAATCAGTTTCAGAGAACGGTCGTATTACTTCTCTCAAATTTAATATTTTGGCGGAATGTAAATTTTTTACTATTTTTTTGCTGTTTTTCTATCAAATAATTTATTCTTCTTCGGCATCTTTGCTATAACTATAAATTTTGCTTGGGTTATATAACTGAATATGGTTATTCAGCGCCAAGTTTGCAATCGAATCGTGCAACTGAAATCAAAATCGAGCAAGTTGAACGCATTATATCATTTGGTGACACTTCAGAGGTTAATAAACTGATTATTTTAAATTCTGATTTTAATTATTTATTATAAAATTAATTTTAAATATTAAATTTAAAATTAATTTTATAAATTTAATTACAAAATTTATAAATTTATATAAATTTGGTCATAAAATTTTATTCTTTTAACTTTTTAACTTCAATATAAGAAAATTTTCTTTTATCACCTGGATTTTTTTTCGAAAAGTGAAAAATGAATCAATTGGTTAAACTTAGTAGTCTCATCAGCAGTGCATTTTTCATTTTCAGAAGGTGATTTCTGTTCTCGGTTGTCCGCTTAATATTTTCTATGAATCTGGGGAACGTATGTTAATTCATAAAGAAAGTGATTGCAGCTGTGTACAACAACCAAATTATTTCTTCAATTATTTCTCACTTGGCGTGGTATTTATTATTTGTGAGTTTATGATAAGTACAAACAAGTTATTATTTTTAATTCATCTATTGAAACAAAACTCGTCAAATTATCTTTAATTGAGAAAAAAGAACTATAACAAGGATCAAAAATTTTTCAAAGAATTTTTCCAGGATATTGTCTTTGACTTTACCACAAATCGAGTTGTAAAATTTGTACTACATTCAAATCTTCCCGGACATTACGATTTTGGAATGCAAGTTTTGCATTTCCAATATTCGTCTCTTTTAGTTTTTTTCTAAAATGGAAGTGCCGTTTTTGCCATATATTTATTATATATTGAAAACTATGTATATTTTGTAAAAAAGATATTATGTAAGATTATGAAGGTTTTCCCTTTTTTTTATTATTAAAAGTATTTTTCAGCTATAACAGATGTAATTTCAAAATCCATCTGGAAGATGAACCATGGTTTATAGTTCCTTCTTCTCGAGTAATTTTTCAATTTAAAATTTTTTTTGTTATTGTTTGTATTGTGCATCTTTTAATTTTTTAATTTTTTATTTTCTTTTTTTTAAGACAGAAGATTTCCTTCCTGCATTTTCGGGTGTTCAAGAAAAATCTTTACAACCAGTTGTTCTCAATCGCAGTACTATAGATAATCCATTTACACCAACACTTTGCTATGGTTGTGGTCAAATTATTGTCGAAGTAAATAATTACTTGCTTTTTTTCTGAATAATATCTATATTTTTCATATATTTTTATAAATTGTTAGTTATTTTGCAAGTATAAAATCTTTTCGCATTATATTTAAAAGATTATGTGGTATTAAATATATAAATGTATTAAATAAAATGTTTTAATTACAGGTGATGTCTTGTGGACTTATAGCTGCTGTGACTATATTTTAAATTTTCTGGCGTTGTAGATATTCATACGATACATTCATTATCTTCTGAATTATGGCGATATTGCCATAGCAGCTTATTTCTAGAAGTCAGTAGTGCTTTAGTGTATCATATGCAACGATAAAAATTAGTATTCAGATAGTGCAGGCACTTCTGAATATTACTGTATCTCATTTTGAATTTTGCCTCAGATTTTTTTATGTTTGAAAGTAAATTAACGTGATGAAAGTAATAATAGCCTTGAAATCTTGATTAAATATTTGTTGGGCATGATTTGTGTAATTTCTTTTATTTGGAAAGTTCCTTGTCATTGTTAATTCAGTTTTAATGCTTTTAATAATGCCATACTTGACATCCGATTTTATAAAAAAGCTTGTTATAGCCCCTTGGCACCTCTAGAACATTTTCAATAAGACTTTAAAACTTTATTGTATCTCCCTCATCTCTCATCTTTTGGTTCCCCTCATAACCTTATATCATGGAACTCCTGATCCAGTTATTAAAATTTCTTGGCGTCTTTTTCTATTTTTTGTCGCCTTTGTGTTGTTATAATGAGAACTTTAAATATTCGAAAAGGTAAGGAAATATAATGTGCTTTAATTGTTATTAAACAATATTTCAGGGCCTGAAAGTGGTATTAAACTGGTAAAAAGGGGCCTAACCACATATTTTTTGGTTTTGATTTTTAATTTTTTGTATAACTACATTCCCATTATGTTTTTCTGTTTGATAAATAAATATTGGGTTTGATTGTGTGACTTTATTCGATACAATAATCTGTTAGTCTGGTCCTTCACTGTGGACCGGAATTCTTTAATATTTCCTAAAGGCTATGAAAAAACTCAGAGTTAAACGAATGCACTGTGTTCTCGCAAAGAAACTGACTTATCATTTTATAGCAATGGAAGTTCCTTTTCCCAGTTTCAGCAAATTTTCGTTCTTAATTCGTGCAGATATCTTGACACACCACCTAATTGCCTTTTATTGCCTTTTATTAACCTTTTTGTCTTCTTAAGTGTTCCCAAACAGTACCTTAATCAAGACTTGCTTAATTCATGCTAAATTCTGACATTACCAAACTTATCTTTTTTATATCTTAGGTCCTTATATACATTATCTCATTATCAGTCTGCCTCTGAATACCACCCAAATTCCGTTATGCAATCTCGGTATCGCTCGAGGTTCAGCCGTACCTCTGATTTTTCCGCTTACCTTATCCCAATCCTTTTTTCATCAACAATTTTTCGAACGCTTGTGTCCTTTAGCCAGTTACGTCTTTAGTAACGATTGTAATGTCCTCATCATGGTACCTTGACACTTCTCACAAATTATATTGAGGCGCAACAGTTACAATAGAAAATATATGCAACCTAATAGCTCGTAATAGCTTGGATTACTCACAAGTTGAATGAAATGTTCTATGCTTCTTGATCAGAACACTTGTTAAGGTGTAAAGTATGGTATAGGGGATATGAGATTTTACCCGCGAGGCGAATAAGTAATAAAACCTATTAATAAGTGCATAAAAAATTTTTATACTATATACTTCAATTTTTAAAATTTTCGTAGCTTTTATTAATTAGTTGCATCACTTGGGATTAGAACAATTATAGTTTTTATTAGTTGTCTTTTAATGAATTTAGTTAAAAATATATTAAATTTTATAATAAACGGAACTCTTTTTCTACACCTTTTTTGATTTCATTCAGATTTTATTCATTTCGCTTTTTAATTTATTGCCTTTTGCCTTTCTTATTATATCTATAGGAAGACCAAACGTAATCCTCAAGTTTCGAGAGAATAGTAAAGAAATGAATTTTTACGTTACGTTACGTTACGTTACGTTAATTTATAAGAGTTAATAGAATTTGGAAACAATACTGCCCATCCATAAGACAGATCTTTTCGTCATTTATTTTCATGTTTATTTTCGTACTTCAATGGATCATTTATTTAACCACCATATTCAATGAGCGCATTAATACATCTATCGCAATATTCCTTTGATTCTAAACGCCTATTCCTTCTGCAGCGAGTGCAGTATTTTCCATCACTTGGGATTAGAACAATTTTTGTATTTTGAAAATCTGTTGAAAACTGTAATTCGACCATTGATAAATTCAAGGCTTCAACCAGTTCAGAATTGAATGAATGTTCTTTTGTTTGCATAAATTTTAAAATTTTGGCATCTTCACTTCCACTTAATATTTTTGCTCCCTTAAATTTATGTATATAAAACTAAAAATACCTGAATAAGTATCAAACAGAAATATACATATACAGGACTTTGTTGAAAATCAGGTATTATAAAACATGAAAATATTCAAAAAGAATATACCAATAAACTTAAATTTTGTTGTGGATTTGATATTTCTCGAATCTCGCTTCGAAGTTCTTCTATCTTTTTAAACATAACATCAAGTTTTTCGGCTTCAAAATCAAGAACACAAAGAGAGTTCCAGCAATTTCTGAAAATAAAATTACAAAGGAATTAGAGTGCCATCCGAGTACAAAAAAGCAAAGGCAACAGACCTGAGAGCTATGGCGGGGTCTTCGATTCCTGGATGATGATCAAAAAATTCGATAGCTAAGTGAGGTATGATAGGAGCCATAATAGAAACCAGCGATAATCCAACCTCTGACAACGTGTACTGAACGCATTCCCTATCAGTTTTTGAACCACAATAAAGTCTATCTTTAATAAAGTGCTAAAAAATAGGAATTTAACAAAATTAATTTCAACCTTAACAATTAATAAAATTAGTATAAACTTACTATATAAAGAGAACTGAGAGGCAAATTAATAAACCGGAGAAAATCGTGAACAAGTGTTCCAAATTTGTATTTTTGGTAATTCAATTTGCAACGATTGATAAAAAGAGCGGTTTCATGTAAGATATACTGCAGAATTATTATTTAATATATTTAAATTATTTAAATTATTATTATTTAATATATTCGATAATATATAATATCAGAATTATTATTTAATATATTCTTGCAATAGTGAATTAAAATTATCTAAAAACTTATAAACCAAAAATGAATAATCGAGTAAATTAATAAGTTGTTGCTATATAAGACGAAAATATTTATACCCGATCAATGTAATGAAGCTTAAATAAGGAGATATCGAATTTCTTGCTATCAACGCAACCCAATATGTACCGCAGTATTGATCTTATTTCTCTAATTTTCATTGCAAGTTCATCAACAACTGCCTTGCCAATACGGGCCTGTTCACCACTAGTACCATACAATGCAACCCATAAACGTAGACCATCGATGCCTATTGGATTCATATTAAGAGAGCCATCAGTGATCTAAACGTAATTTTTACTAATAAAAATTGGCACACAATCATTGAAGAGAATAATCTGGATGAATCAACGAAAAATTATTATCATTAATATTTTACGCCTAGAAAATGTATGCAAAAGAAAAAGGTCTAATCATACTATGCTCAAAACATTTCATTTCTAAAAAAAAAAATTATACCATATCTGGATCGACGACATTACCATCTGACTTGGACATTTTTTTACCCAAATCGTCCACTGCAAAATTATGAATCAAAGCTCTTTTGTAAGGTACAATATCCTGAAATTACGATCATCACTTTTAATATTAAATTTAAAAATCAACATAATTAAATGAAACAATCCAAAGGTAATTCTATTTTAAAAAAGTATAAAAAATAAATATGATGAAAATGTTATTTCTAGATTCTAAATTTACTAAAAATTTACTAAACAGTACTTCTTACCACTTCTACTTCTATTTCTCACTTAATATAACTTTTTTTCTCAAAACAACCAATAAGAAATTAAAAAAGAAAATTATATTTTACATGTAAAGATAATGAAGTGAGCAATAAAGATTGAAACCATCCACGAAGTTGATCAACGCCTTCAATAACAATATCAGCTGGTTGTTCTCCATTGCGAGTGCATGACCAACAAACACCACTGTCCATCCAAACATCCATTACATCCAAACATTTTGTTAATTTTTCCCCATTTAATACGCCATGCTTTATTCTCAACTAAAATTTTACTATATTTAAAAGAAATTTTAGAAAAACCTGAATATCTCGAAATCTTTAATGAAAAAGTATGAATGCCTGGTCAGACAAGAGCTCGTCCACATCAAGAGTCCACCATACATCTGGACCATCGACTGCTATTTTTTTAGCGACTTCTTCCGCAATTCCTCTGCCAGCCAATATATTCCCATTTTTACTGAAAAATGCTGGGATAGGCACACCCCAAACCCGCTGTCGAGATATGCACCAGGGAGGTCTTTGGTTCATTTCTGCCAGTAGAGAGGTGGATCTATCTGAAAATAATCAAATATTAAGTACGATACAATTTATAAATTTCAAAAAATGAAAAAAATGAAATTGCTTTAAAATATGACCTTTATAAGGAGTCCCAATTTCAACAGAACCATTCTCAATTAATTCCACAGTTTTACTAATTGCTTTTGATATGTCCATAAACCACTGTTCACTGCTTAGAATAATAACGGGCTGAATAAACGTACCTTAATTATTTTGGTCCACTAAAAAACATGTAAATGATAATAAATTTCAGAGAATTTTTCCACTATGAAATTTGTTTTGGCGAAAAAAATTTTTTAAATAAACCTCTTTAGTTCGCCAATCATAAGGATAAGAATGTTGATATGAATGCTTAAAAATGATATCATTTTTTAATAAACGTAATACGGCTTCTTCACCATCTCCTAAAACATTTTTGTTTTCAAGAGCATATCCCATTTGACGCGTATAGCAGCCATTTTCATCAATAAAGCATTGAATTTTATGTCCTCTTTGTCGACCTATCTGGAACAACTGATCATTAAAACTCGATTTTAATGCCAAAAATGTAACATTAAAAAATGAATGTAAATACATATAAATATATTTATAAAGATGGAAAATTCAGAATCTAACTTCGATTTTATTAAGATGGCTCTTGTTGGAAACAACGCCTAAACACTTCGATAAACTACAAAACCCATTCTTCTCAAAGTCCAAAAATTTTAAAAAAAACCTTGAGTCTTTAAATCCATGCAATCTTGGATCATTCCCAACCACTCTAATTAACTCTAATTAATCGTTAAGGCGGTTCATCTTGCTTCTTTTTGACTTTCAGTCCTTTTTATATTTTTATTTTGATTTTAAAGCATATTTATATTTATCTTATATGCATATTTATCTTTTTGCAATTTTTTCGCTACCATTTAAGAATAAAATGAAGTAATTTTACCTTGAAATCATCAATGCCATGAGCAAAAGCAATATGTACAAGACCTGTGCCTGTATCACTTTTCACAAAATTTTCATCAATAAACCCTTGAGCAATATCCGAATACATACAATTTTTATACATGAGATCTTGTAGATCCCTTTTGTCCAATGTCAGTATGTGTTGAACAGATAAATTCGTTATTTCCTCAAAATTTGAAATCGAATTTTTCGATAAAATATAAAGATTTTGAATGGGCCTAAAATGAAAACAAACAAAATGTGAATCCAATAAACAAAAAAGTGCATAAATAAAAAAATCAAAAATAAAATTTTAAATTATAAACATATCAAACACTGAAAATAAGGAAGAAAATTTTTTATGCGAATTCCATGGTTTTTTATTTCTTATAATTTTCTTACACGCTTTTTCAGAGTACATTTTTTAAATATATTTTTTGCTACGCTAAAATTTCGAAATTGTAAATTTATCTACAAACTGAAAAATTTCAAAAAAAAATGATTAAATGCGACAAAGAATAAAAAAATCGGCCTTGCTACGGAAGTCGAATTAAAAAAACATACGATTGTTCCTTCTTGATTTGAACCACGACATAATCATCGTTACAATTGAAAGCAACAGCATTATTAAATGGAAGAGTCCAAGGTGTTGTCGTCCACACTAAACCATATAATCTTGAATTCCGTGTTACAACACCACATTTTTCAAGAATTTTTCGTGAATTTATAATCTAAAAAAAAGTGAACTGATTTTGAAGATGCCTTTAATTTGGCTAATTAAAACAACTAATTTTTGAAAATTGAAAAATTAATAAATTACCAAAAATCGGAAGAAAACTGCTGTACTAACATGATTTGCATTATATTCCAATTCACTTTCAGCAAGAGCAGTTTTGGAACTTGGAGACCTTAACCATTACAAATCATCATTTGAACAACTGCTAACATAGAAAATATTTGAATTAGTATAACATATCTAGGCTTAAGCATGTTCAGGCATAAATTTGTGCCAGTGAAACTATATTTAAACCTAAACCAATCAATTTAAATTAAGGTAAGCAACCGCAGACAAATCAAGCTGCCTATCTAATAACTACTCGCCTTAAATTGAATTAACAATCTCAATCTCAGCAAATGAATAAAATAAATGTTAAATGAATAATTCGATTTCGAATGGTTCGATAATAATAAACATAGTACTTATTGCCATAAGCACCACTCATTAACCATAAGTACAATATGATAATCCAAGGCGAATAAATCAATTTAAAAAATAAGTTTAATATAAAAGAAATGAAATGATCGCTTGAATTCTTCCATTTTATTAAAGGAAGTCATTCAGAAAAGCTACCAAATATTTGGATGTTCTCTTTCTAGCAAACCTTTCCGACAAATTTTAAAAAACAAGAGTAGAACCAAGGGCAAAACAATCCATAGACGAAGCAACAAATCACCCAACCACATAATGATCATGATTCCTATTAAGTCATGATTCACTGAATTTTAATTCAACTTATATACGAAGAGATGAATAAGAACCTCAGTAAATATAAACTGGAAATTGTCAAATCAAAATTTGTCAAAAGGAAAAAAAACATAAGAAATACCAATAAACAGGTCTAAATGCCCGATAAATAATTTTCTGATCGAAGAATAATCCAAAAAGTTGAATTTGCCGTGAAACGTAGTTTTTATCCATTGTTCGATAAGGATTTTCCCAATCAGCAGTTACACCCCAACGTTTGAACGAATCCATCTGTAAGGCTATAGAATGTTCAGCTAACGCGTGCGCAGCATTCCGTACTTCTTTCGATGTTAAATGCTAAAAATATTTTTTAACAGAATAACTTTTAGAAATTCAAGTAATACTGATGACTCACTTGCATTTTTACTATCTTGGCGAAATTCCTCCGCAAAAAATTCTGACCGTACTGACAGTGGAAATCAGAATAAGAATTAGTCAGTTAGTTAAATCAGAATTAATTGGTGGGCGCTAACTACTTATTTACCTACTAATATTTCATAAAACACGGAACTGTTTCATTTAATTTTTTTTTGAAAAACCTCAAATTTTCATCCCACCACTGATTTCTGCATTAACTTCCTAATCACTTCCTAAACCTCTGGCAAAGCAAAAGCAATAAAGCAGTAAAGTCCGTTGGCTTTTTTCCCATCTCCCACTCCCATTCTAACTATAGCACTATAATTTTTACCTCTTTACTCCTCTTTACTTTTACCTCCTCTTACTTACCTCCTCTTTACCTCCTCTTTACTTTTTCCTGGATTTTTCTGGACTCCTCTCATATTTTTTTCCTATATATAGAAAAAGGATAGAAAATCCGTAATTATAAATGCTACCTTAACATCGATGATTACCGAATAATAAAAAAAAGCATAGTACTGTATTAAATGCAATAAAATTACTTCATGGCTTTTCATGATTTTCAATTCGATTGGAAGTCCGTGACAATCCCAACCTGGACGAAAATAAACGCGTTTTCCAGAATAAACTTGACTGCGAACAACAAAATCTTTATAAAGTTTATTTATAGCATGACCAACATGAACACGTCCATTTGCATATGGAGGGCCATCTAATAATTCAAATCTTAAAATACTAATAGTCAATGGTCAATTGATGCAACAAAACTAAACATAATAAAAAATAATTTTACAGGAGAAAAAATAGTTTGAATGGTATTTAAAGGGATGAAAATGGTAGCAAATAACGATTCGTATTTTATAATTAATTCGATAATTGATAAAAATATCAAAGAAAAAGGAATGGAAATTTAAGAAAATAAGAACACAGATATAGGACATTGTATCAATGCCGTTTTTCAGATTTTTGTCCTTAAAAAGCGCTCAACACTTACGACTCCGCTTGCTTCTCGGATCAAACAAAATTTTTCAGAGAAATGAGAGAAGAAAGTCTGGTTAGTCGCCAGTATTACTTTATCTATTGAAAGATAGTCCTGTTTTTTTTCCATTTTTCCCATTTCCAAACTCAAAAAATTGAATAAAAGCAAAAAAAAACTTACGATGGAAGAGATTTGCGCTGAGGCGAATTGAGTTGCCAATCATAAAAATCATTAAGTTTGCCTTTTATAGATAAAATTCTATCATGACTGGCTTGTTCAATAGTTTTGATATTTATCTGAAACGTTGTTTGTGGCAAAAAAATACGTTTATTCATTAGCTTTGTCATCGAATACGGCAATGCGAAAGAAATTTTTTGGTCGAATAAGATTTTTTAATTATGATGAAGACGAAGACGATTGAAAATGATTCTGGTATTGCTCAATAATTATACGAAAGTAATCATTTAAATCCGACTGATCTTCACCGAAACCAATCGCTAAGAAAAAATCGCGTCGACGACGATTAAATTTCACAATTGTTTTCACTAAACGATTTATTAATAATTCGAAATCGTCCTGAAATATTTGAATAATTTACGCTTTACACTCATAAAACAACAATTTCAGGAGAGGGGGTTTTTTTAAAGCTCACTTTGCTCGGCCAATTTTTTGACAAATGGTTGAATAAATTTTTGCGCAACACAAATATCAAAAATGTTGGCGACAATGACAAAATAAATTTGGCAGTCCAAAAGTACTCTTTTAATTGCTTAATTAAGAAGTTAAAAAATATAAGAATGCGAATAAATAATTTTTTTATAATTTAGGTTTTTTTCAAAAAAAAATTTTCCATTGAAATATATATGTATACGAAAAAAAAGGAAACCGAATAAGCGCCAAGGAGAATTTTCGTGTCGAATTCAATATTGTGTGTTGAATGCAATTTAGAAGCAATTAAATGATGTGGAAATGTAACCTAAAAATTATTTTTTAAAAAACCTACAATTTCTGAAATTCAGACCCAAAGCCTGAAATACCAAGGCGACTAAGATTAATCCACGATGCACTCCAAGCAGCAAATGCTAAATTTGTGGTACCCTAAGAGGCAAATGCTAAATTTGTGGTCCCGTAAAGGAGCAAATTCTAAACTTGTGGTCCCCCAAAGGAGTAAACTCTAAATTTGTGGTTCCCTAAGGAGCAAATGCTAAATTTGTGGTTCTCTAAGGGGCAAAGGCTAAATTTGTGGTTCCCTAAGGGACAAATGTTAAATACTTTTAGAAAATTCACCGATTCTCAAGCAATCGACCAAAATATTGGAAATGACGTAATAATTACGAAACAATTCCAATAAATTTATAAAAATTTTGCATAGAAAAAAAAAGCAAAAAAAACCTGCAAAATTTGTCCGATTTTCGAAATGTTCGACAAAAATATTAAATCGGTATTTTCGAATTCAATTATTATAAATTTTACTTCGCTATTCAAATATTCGAACGACAAATCCTTCACAATAGGAAATTTTACACAATCCATAAATTTTTTTCAAAAATTCCTTTCAAATTTTGCCGGAAGAAGTACAACCGTCCACATAGAAAGCACGGCCCACGGCCCACCGCGAGAAAAACATGGCACAGCACGACTATAGTACAAGCTTCGATGACGAAAAAAATACTATGTTCAATGGTATGAATAAAAAATTTTGATAATTATGCATTTCGGTATGGTTTATATATGTTATTTATGATTATTTTTTGATATAAAATTTTTTCTATATATAATTTACGCGTCGAATTCTCAGTAATTCTTATAAATATCATGTGTGTTGAATGCAAAATATTACCGCTTTATTGCTAATGAAATTATTTTAAATTTGTTAAAAAAATTAAAAATTAAAAAACTGAAAAATGAAAACAGAAAATTTAAATAACATCATTTATTAGCCATTTTAAATATCGAGAACATTCAAAAAAAGGCATCGTTTTGCCCTAATTTTTTAAAAATATAATCATAAGCCTTAAAAAATTAATGATAAATTAATTTAACTCAAGTAGAAACAAAATATGGGAAATGGGAAGGGCTAATCGTCAAGTTCATAAAAATCGTTTTCATTCTCTTTATCACCGAATCTTAATTTGTAAACCTTTTCATATAAATTACTTCTGGCTTCATTTGGTGAGATAAATGAATATTCTCCACTTATTTCATTTTTTTTAAACATATATTTCGTAGCTGCAATTAGACCAAACGCAGACCAACCAATAAAAAAAAATAAAAATGTTGTCAAAATCCGCCTGAAATAAGAGAATTTCTAAAATATGAAACGAGCATAAAAATTTATTTTTTTTCCCTTTTTTAAATTGCAAATATCGTTAATAAAAAGGTAATAGTAACGGTAACGGTAAAGGTAATGGTAAAAGGTAACGGTTAATAAAAAAAGGAAAATTCTCCCACGGAAGAATCGAAAATAAACACTAAAACTAGAAATTAAGTAAATTAATATAAAATATTATAATAACCTATTACTTGCAGCTCGATAAGTTAAATTTTTTGATTGTCGTCTGAATAACTGACGATAACGCCTTCGCAATTCCCATAAATACATAAGAATAAAACTAATGAAGAAATTTTAAAAAAGTTCTTTGGCTTGCAAAGCTGGTAAAAGTTTAAATCGTTTTTTAACAGCAATGCGATATTTGGAATATTTGTCTTCAGGACTGAATCGCGCTGGATGAGCCGACAGTGTTTCTTTACCTTCAGGATCCAATTTCTAAAAAATTTACTCACTGTTAAGAATTTTTCAATGTAACAAAAACTTTACATTAACTTAATCAGTGAGGGAAATACTAGAAGATTTACATGCTGCAAAATAGATTCGACTGCTTTTCCTTAACACCAGCAAACCTATCATTAAAAAAAAAAAATCTGAATAGCACTGGGGACCGATTTCTACTCTATTTTCAAATTAACGAATACCACCAAAACCATTGGTCAGAAAAATCCAGTTAATCCACTCATTATTGCTAGCTAATGCCCCCTATGTGCATTTATTAGGATAAAGCATCTTCATCGGTGATTCGCCTTCGCCTTCTTTCAATTTTAATGTCTTCCAGTTTTATTCCAACTAAAGTTAGAAACCAAATTGTGATGCTTGAAATGAAATGCTTGAAATCTAAGCGGTCCACAACAATATATCGAAGCGCCATCCGTGAGGAAGCGATAACCGAGTGCTTCTTCGCAGACAATCGCTCCGAGAGCCGAATTTCCTTCTTTCCTCCCTCTTTAGTCCTTCAAATGCCTTCTCAGCGAGAATTTCTCACCAAATCATAAATTAATGAACAATTTTAATTATTCGCTATTTGTAGGAGAAAACACTTCGCTTACTTTAAGAGTGTAAACTCGATTTCCTTCCTCGTCCAAGTAGTAACGCAGAAACATCGCACACCGACACCGCTATAAACCCCTCAGATTATTTTATTTTCGATCATAAAGATACTATTTCTATAAATTTCACTCAAATTTTTCCGTAAATTCCACTCAAGAGTTGCGCTTTTAACAATCACGAAACTTGCAGCTTCATAATTTCTTTTATTCCTTTCTATGCCTTCTCTTGTTTTGTAATATGTCCGCAATATAATTTTACATTATACATATTTAAGGTCCTTGTGTTACCTTCGAAAGCTTCCTTAGGACTTTAACTCTTCTCGAAACCCCTCTAATGCTAATGCTTAATGTTTTCTTCAATGCTTCGTAAAGTCTCACTATATTGCTATACCATTTAGTAACATTGCCATGAACATCCTTATACTATCGCTCACACACCGTTATAGTAATTAACAAGTTCCTCTGGATCTGTTAATCCCTTCATATCCCTGAAATTCTTCCAATAAAGCGTTCTTTTGTCAAGGCGCTTCACTCGGCTTAGCCCTACCAGATTCCGCTGGGAATGTCCGGTATAATACTAAGGTAAGTTGCATTGAACGCCGAAATTCCACTCGATTCTTTTGCCACAATCTATTTGTAGACACCATCTTAGACCCGTTTCGGCCTTTTATTCCCTCATAAAATTCCTAAAATTCACTCGTCAAATCTTTGGAAATGGATGCAAATGTGATTTTGAAAACTATGGAAAATCCATGTCAAAATATCATTCTTTAATGAATAAAAAGTCTTCATAATGCTTTATAATTTATAATTTTTATTTTTTTATATCTTTTTTATTTGTAAAACTTTTAAATTTTTTATAATTTATATTTTTTATAATTATTGAAATGGACATCGCTTGTCGATACTCAGAAACGATACAATCACAATCTTAAGTACGCTGATGATGTAGTCCTTTTTGCTGACAATTATGACGAAACAGTGAAACAATATGTCAACGATTGGAGTGGAGATCGGGTTCAGGATGAATGTAAATAAAGCAAAAGTCTTTATTTTATACAAGAAGCTGATGAAATACCTATTTCTATCAATAAATTGCTGGTTGAAGAAGTGCCGATTTTAAATGCCAAGCAAAAGATTACAATCCGAATAAGTTGTGTTCTTCCGGCTGACGAAATCTTTATAGAGTCGTTATGAAATCGCCGCGTCCATATGCTTGCAATTCGTTCAACTTTGCTATATGGCTGCGAGATATGGCCAATGAGAGTGGAGGATATTAAAGTGCCATCTACCTTGGACCACTTTTTTTTTTAAAGAGTCCTCACCATTACTGGTTAAACTCGCTCCACTGGCTTGTCGCAGTTATGTAATATGCCAGGAAGTTCCTTAGTGATTAAAATAGGTGAGTCGCTAGCATTAGCCGGACCACTCAATATTTTATGGGTCCGCTGATAAAATCTCACATGATTGCATCCATCTCTGCTTAAATACCACCTGCATTAATATTATGATCACAAAGCGTCGCTTTCGCTGATTAGAGGATTTTCTTCATTACCCACCACAAAAACCGACATATAATTCTTGTACACTAATTAAGTGAAAAAATTTTCTAGACTCCTCTTAGATGTAAATTTTATCACCTTATCAGCAATCACTCGGTTGCGTTGTCACCAAATATCTGTGTCTATTCATATATCTATATATATATATATATATTTTCATTTTTAAGTGGTTCAGTTCCTACTGCCTGAGACCTTAAAAATTCCAGTTTTTCCTATATTTACTTTTTTTCAAAAGTGGCTTTCTGGCAAATTTTAAGCGAGCCTAATCAGAAGAAATGCTAACTGCTTGCTTGTTTTTTTTACTTATCAACCAATCATTGAATTTTCTTGTGAAATGCGATTATTCAGTTGTTCACATTTTTTTGAAGAAACTTTATTTGGAAAAACTTAAAAAGTAAAAATTTAAAATAATCATAAAAATTTTTGTAAAATCATTAATGGAAGGTAAAAATGATTTGTACAACAATATCGCCAATCGAAAAAATCTCGGTAATTTGATAAGAAATTAAAAAAATAAGAAATAAAAGAAAAAATAAAAAAAGGGAAAAAATTATATATGGTTATCAGTTGCGAATGCATAATATTTTAAATGCGTTTTACTCGTACAAAGTTATCTTTTATCGATTACCTCTTATCATATCATTATCATCAAAAAGGTGATTCTCATTTTAAAATCTTGGCACTTAATGAATTAAAGATTGGATATAAAAATGTTTGAACGTGTAAAAAATAGTTCACTCCTGCTTTTGAAGCATTGAAAACAACCAAAACTGATTATTTAACAAATGAGATATGCTATCATATCAAAGAAGATGTGATAGCATTTTGCCCCGAAATGTAAAAATATATTATTTTAAAAATATTATATCATTCTGTAAACAATTATCAAAATAGTTAAATGATACTGTCGAATAGATTTGTTGATTTGGTCTAAAATCTGGTTTTAGGATCGACTCAACGCTGAACGATTTCTTTTTCGGCAAAGTTGTTCTTACTGGGCTGTCATCCGAATAGTCATCGTCGTTTATGGATAAACCCATATGCTGCCGAACCTACGAAGAAATTTATAATTTTTATGTTACCTTACATTTTCGTAGATTGATTATTATAAGCCTTATAGCTATAAGTATCATTGTCAATAAAATTTAGCGAAATCTCTCTACTGTTTGGTACCATTTAACGAGAATCGGCGAACTAATATTCTTATCCTTTTTTCTACTTCTATTTTTTGTACTATTTTAAATTTTAGTTAAAAATAACCTTTCGTTGAGCTCTCTTCCTTCTAAAATCGCCCTTTTGAAAATCTTCAACATTCGCTGGATGAATTGCCCAATAATTACCCTATAATAATTTAAAATTATAATATTTTAAATTAGTTCAAACCAAAAACGGAAAAATTAGTTGGTAGAATCGCTATAATTCTTTTTGAATTCTCTTTGATAAAAGTAATAATAATAGAATGGCTCAGTGGGTTGTTGCTCAATTGGGAGCGCCGATGCTGAGGTTCGATTCCCCGCAGGAGCAAATCTGTATAAAAATGCGGGGATACTGGCGACTCACCTGTATCTCTATTGCCAAGGACTCCCTGGCATATTGTCCGATGCGGTAAGCCAGTGGAGCGAGTTTAACCAGTAATGGTGAGGACTCTTAAAAAAAAAATAATTGATGGCAATACTAACGAAGGTTTATTGTTGCTCGAACAGGAAATATTTTATCGCAATTACATTATAATCAACTAACAAATAGCAAATTTTGGAAAAATTTATAAAAGTCTAAAAATATTTTGATTTTTGAAAATACTTTTTTCCGAAATTGCGAAATTTTTATTGGTATAGAGGTGAGAAATTTCAAAATTCTTGGATTAGACAGAGTGGATTAGAGTTTTAAATGAGTTTTTTCCAATTACTACAATTATGAGAAGGAGTAGTCGATAATCGATTCGAGGTTTTTCGATTCTAATAGTGGTACCACAGGTTCAATTTCCCGAACAAGAATAAGCCTATATTCAAAAATTCAAGCACTAGCGAAGTCACCAAGTGACTCTTTGGCAAAAATTCCTAATCGTACTGATGGCTAGCGGAGTCAGCCCAAAATAGTAAAAGCTTTACCGTACTTGATTATAATTTGTCTTCCAAAATTTTCCTATTGAATAAAACTGAAAAGGATCCCCCAACAATCAGCCAGAAACAATGAATTCACGAGTATTTGCCATTTATATCGAGAATTTTGATGTTTGGTCTTCGGGGGCCTCTCGGATTTTAATTTTGATAAGAGATTAAGATATCAGAATCAGTCCATTCCATGCTATTTGCTTTCAGCCGAATTAACACTTTATAACTTATCTGTTTATCAAATCAAATTTTACCTTTCCATTAGCAGATCTGCCAGCCTTAATGAAACAATCGTTGAGACTCAAATTATGTCGTATAGAATTCCTCCAGCCAGGTCCTTTTGTTCGAAAATATGGATAATTATCGATAATCCACTGGTATACTTCAGATAAAATCATTTTCTTCTGACGAGAGCTAAGTATTGCTGTCGCAATTAAGCCGATATATGACAATTGCGGTTTTGGCTGTTGATCGTCGATATCGTCGATACTCTTCTCTTGAAATGATTCCTTAGGCAAACCAATTGTAAATGGCAATAAATGAGTTAATTTCATTTGTGAAAAAATATCCATAAAACAGTTATTACATAAAATCAACTTAAAGAATCAACTAAACGAGTGTGATTTAATCTCAATGAAAACAAATATTTATAGGTTTCTGAACTTGAAGGCGGGTTCAGTTACTTCCTTGTTTGGCTGATAAGGCTCAGTAAACTAATTCTTTGCCTTTTATTGCCAACTAAGTAATTGGTCTATCAGATTATTGCCTTTATTTAATTATGTTTATAGTTTGGGCCAATGAAGTAATAATTACTGTCAGCCGGAAGTTATTAAACTGATTGATGGTGTTCTAAAAAACTTTTTATATTAAAAGATTTTTAAACATATCTATATAGTACCACAAAAAGGTATTTGCAGAATAGGTACCAACCAGTTAAATACTTTCTTCAGCTTGAGATTCGTTATGCAAGAGTGTGGCCTTTGTCACCGACACCAGACTCACCTACAGTTGCGTGCTCATGCTGGTAAATCTTTGGCAAAAATTTCTAATCGTGCTAAAAGCTAGCAAAAGTAACATAGCTAGAAATAGTAACCGGGTTTCCAGGCTTCATTGTTTTGTGGATGTTCGTGCTTTTTAAAGGATCGCCTTTTTAGAAAATCTGGCCTTTTTTTGCGATTCATTTTCTTTTTTTTTCAAATATTATTTTTCATCAAAACAATGTCGATTTGTCACTTATGAAAAAATTGTGTATAACTAATCATTTCAAGAAACCTGGCTCAGCTATTTCACTTACCAGGATAATTATTAGAAAGACCACATGATGGAGGATATAGACCTCCACTTCGATCACTGCTAAACACTATCGCATTCTAGCACGGTGGCCAACACAGCGTGTAGAGCCAGGGCCAGAAAGACTTACTACATAATAAAATTCTCCACTTAATAAGTCGGAAAACATTTCTTCCTTTCATCAATCGTTTATCAAAAATTAATGTTCCATTTTTTTGGATTTAAAGAAGTTGTCTTTTTTCATTGTATCCTTTTTCTCACAAGCAAATTCATTCATCAGTTATTTTTTCTAAATAAAATTTCTAATAAATTTCACTTGTTTTATTAGAATGCAAATTATGAGCATGATTATTGTCATGTTTCTTTATCTCCTTTGGATCATGCTTGTGCTATAAAGGGGCTGCAAAATGTAGGGTTTGCACTACAAATAGCCCACAAATATTGATAGTGATTATTCATTCCACTGATAATAATCTCTTCTTCTTAGCAGCTTCACCGATTTTAAGGGTAAAAACCTATGGAACCGAACAGTCCAGCAGTGCGAACAATACACCAATCTGCCACAATAATTGAACATTTGGAAAAACCTAAAAAATATATCAGTTGTACGCTCCCGATTTACGTTCTTTCGTTATACGTTTTGAGCCTGGCAAAAATCGTATGATTTCTGTGAAATGATCAAAGTTTTATGAGATATTTATTGAGGAAAAAATCGAGATTACTGAGTTGAAAATCGAATTTCCATATTTTACAATGGATTTGAAAAGCCCTCGATCGCGTTGAGGGACGAGAAGTCGCTTGCTTCCCACACGATTTCCAAACCGCAGGATCAGTTCCACCGGCAGACAACCCGCGCAGCTGACCCAACCCGAAACGGCCAGCGGCAACAACCATTCGCTCACTTCGAGGGACGAAGAAGTTCAGAGAGGAGAAGTAGGAATCGCGAAACGAGGAAGTCAATATCGATATGTTTGCATTTTAATATAACAATGAAATGTTTTAAATAAGTAAAATAAAAGATTTTGATTGATTATAGAAAAATAAGTAATTTGAAGAAGCAGTTGAATAACGAAATTTCAGTAATCAAATGCTTTCATATTTGATTTAATTTTCGATGATTTTCAACGAAAATTAAGCAAAATTGACAATTGCGTTGCTTCGATTTCCTAGCAAAAATCATCGTTGAAAAAAGAATTTTCTTTATTTTTATTTTGTTGATTTTATCATTTATTTAACAAAAAAAAAAGAATTAAATTTATAAACAAATTTTCATTCGAATTTTCAAATAATTTTTTTTTTATTTCTTCTTTTATCACAAACGATTTTGTTTCGTTTTTTCTTTTATCACAATAGAACGAATAGATTTTCTTTTTTTTTTGCTGCAACGCATTGATAAGAAGATTGATAAGAGGAAAATCTGAAAAAATCTCTTGATAAAGACAACGAATTTATTTATTGTTGATTGACCAATCAATAAGGTGGAATTTCTTCGCTAGAAAATCGTCTATTAAGAGGAATGGAACCACAATTTAAACGTCCTCAACAATCCTTCAGATTTAATGGCAAATTGATTTCTTCTAAGAAGGGAATCGAACCTGGGAATCGAACCAGTAATTTTGCTGTTTTGCTTTCAGCCTATGCAATAAAAGAAATTTCTAAAACGCTTAAGGCAATTACTGTAATGCTTAACCAATGTATAACCAATTACTGGTACTTTCTTGAAGATTTTCGATTCAGTCTGTTCCAGTTGAATGGAACTATTTCGATAAAACGAAAAATAAAATTGAGACATAAGGTGTTAGGCGACAATCTTAGCAAAACAAAAGGAGAAATAAGAGAACACGTGGGCGATCCAGCGATATATGGGTTAAGAACGATGGGAGGAAACCTGGCTTCTATTATTTTCAGGTATGGCAGCTGATCTGGAAACGTCTCAAACGTCTCCTGTAGCCAATGCAGCCAATTTAGCCGACAATTATATAGCCTACTGGATGAAGAAAAATCGCGTGGATTCGTTATTCCTAGCCAATATTTTCATTGCAGACTGAAAAATAAAATTTTTAGGGGAAATCTTTTAATGCTTTTTCCCTTTCTCTAAAGAATTTTCATTGCTTCTGAGATTAGCTATAATTCGTCATAAATTAGAATTTTTTATGTCAGCTATTGTTGATTTTCCAACATAAATTCAACTATATGGGAGATTAATTGGTGCATTGGTGCGAAGGTTTACCTCAGCGGTGACCTTATATATTTCTTCGATTTGAATATTAACGGTGAATTATCAACGAGGATTCCCCGAAGATGCACCAATTATCACGCGTCTCAACCAGTGTTTTCCAAGTTCGTACTCGAATAAAATAATATTAGTTGAATTTCACTGCAAACATAGAAGGCAAAGAGAGTGTAAAACTTATGAAAATAGGAAAAAAATTAATAAATTTACTTGGAAATATAAAATGAAAAAATTTTTTGGAAATTGAAATTACAATGGAAGAAGCCTAGCAATTTTTCTTACGTGGAGATGGAACTAACGCAGTATTAGGCAAATTAGGTAAATCAGACGACTTACCTCAACAAAATGAAAAAAAGAAAAATTTGAGAGAAAAATTAGTCTAATTTTGGCTTAATTTACAATAATTTCAACTCATCATTAATTCATTATCACATTATTAGAGTTATTATCACTATCATTATCACTCATTTGTTCTCGTCAAATTCAGAACTGAACTAAGGCTGTGGTACTTAATTTGAATTCTTAAATTATTTGCTAAACAAGCAATATCTATACAATAATATTCGCACACCAATTACAATTTACAATTATAAATAGAAAATAATAAAAAGGTAAGTAAGGTCATCCTTAATTCCACAAATCCTTGACGAAACGGATCGCTTTACATTTAGCCTATGGGTTACGGGTTGACACTTTCTGAGACTCTTAACTGAATTTAAAAATTGTCGACAAAAAAATGGAAAATAAAAAATTGCAGTTTTTTGAACCTTTGAGTTCTGCAAACAAAGTTCCATTTGATAGAAAAACTACTTTCTCAAACGCACTTAATTATTAAAGCGATCCTGCAATGAATATAATTCCTCCAATAGGTCAACCATTATTTCCGATTCGTTGATAATTAAACCTACTGATAAGCACTTTATCAAATCAAGTCAGATGAGTTCTAGGAGAAACCATCAAATTTTTGCAACATTTTTCAAATAAATTCGTGATCGAACGTCATAAATAACTAAAATTATAAATACAAGAATATTACGAATCAGAAACTCGGATTCATGAGAAAAATATCGAAATATAACAAAAATGCTTTTTCCGTTATATACTAGCATGACATTCATAATAAAATGATTAATATTATCACCAATATTAGCACATTATTAGAGTTATCATTATCATTATCACTATTTTTATTGCCATTATTATAAAAGTAGCTTAGAATCTTATAATTTTATTACGAAATATTACAAATTTGTTTTTTCCAAAAAGCTCGTAAAAAAAAATTTGGTGTGTCAATATTTTATTTAAACTATTAAATGAATCGTAAAACGAAGGAAAAAAAAGAGTAAAATTTATTAAAAGATAAAAAAGAAAACATAATCGATGCAAAAAATCAGTTAAATATTAAAATCTTAGCGTTTTTGAATAAAGCTTTATGCCTTCACCTAATTTTCTATAATATTTATTTATTCAGCTAAACAAATTGAATGAACTTTGAACGAGTTGAAATGGAATTGAAAACAGCAAAAAAACTTTCAGAAAATAAAATAGAACTTTTTGGTGAAAAAACCACATCTTAAAATAATATGTGGTACTTTTCAGTTATCAGGTCAATGATAACTCTCTTCATTGATAATAAAATGCTACAGCTATACGATACGATGTAGAAATAAGAGGAAATCATAAATATAAAAGTTTATAGAAAATTATTGATGGAGAAATTAAAAGATAGGAAAGAATCCTTTAATCACAGATCAGATTTTGGTGCGAAAAGGAAATATATCGGTATATATCAGCAAATCACATCGGTATACATCAGATATAAGAGTGATAAGATAAAAGAGAGATAAGAAGAAAAGAGAAAAAAAATATTTCCAAACATAAAACTTATCATAGCTGCGCTTTGCTCTGGACCGGATAACAAAAAAGTATTCAAAACGCTTCATATTTCGATTTGCAATAAATTTCAATAAAGTAACAGTGAAAAGTATGATCTAATATTTGTTTAAAGAAAAAAATTACAAACGAACATATGGCAATAAAAAAATTAGGAACTATAAAATGCGTAAAAGTTCCTCGAGTAGGATTGAAAAATCTATTGGTATTTCCGTCCATTAAAAAAGCTTTCCGAAAATAAGACCAATCAATAATGCAGCAAGAGCGATTAAAGCTACCTGCAAATATCATTTAGAATCATTCAGAAAATGGAATGAAAGCAAAACTAAAATGAATTATGATTCAGAATTTTCATAGTAGTGCAAAGAAACCAAAATTTGCATTAAAAATTGTTTGTTCTCTAAATTGTTCTAACCTGAAGAATAGCAATACCGCTTTCCTGTCTTTCGTTCCCTCCTACTGAAGAAATAGCTTCAAGTGCAGCTATGCGTGCCTTAAATTTTACTATAATGGCAACAGAAATTGACAGAACCACATAATAAGTGATTCAGCAAATAGAGAAAGCCAACATGGTTGGTTAATAATTTCTCTTTCTTTTAATATACTTGATGAAAAAAAAAGAAAGAAAAACGTTTTTTTCCAATATAGCTAGAAAAGTGAGCAGGCTGCTCGAGTAGTACAATGTTTTGACTGAGAATTAATTCCTTAAGTAGGATCATTAATAACAAAATTCAAGTGATGCAAAGGACCGATGTTCTTATTATTCCCTGATCCTCTGAAGAAGATGGCGTATAACAAGGAATGATTAAATAAAACCAGGAGAATTATTAATAATACTGAAATAATCCAGGCTTAAAATAAAAAATTGAGATTAATTGAGCAAACCTTTAAATTATTATTTTCTCTTTCCAAGTTCATTTTAGCGATGTCGCTATTGCTTCGATCAGCACTTTTTCTATCACTTCCATTGTTCTAAAAGTTTTAAAATAAAATTAATAATTAAATTAATAATTAATGATAACTTTATGAATTCTTATGAAAATACATAGTATAGAAACTATTTTAAAAATATTAATCTTTAAAAAAATATTTTATATATATATGTAAATGAAATCACACTTGAGGTGGCTGACACTGATGAGTTTAAAAAATTCTCCAATGGTTAGAAAAAGCTAGACTAAAAGATACTGAGACATTACTCATAGCACAAGAACAGGTACTGAATATCATATCTACAGCAGCAGGAATGTATCACATCAGACAGGATTCGAGTGGTGCAGGTTGTGCAAAAAAGCCATAAAAACATTAAAAACGAATATGAGAAGTCAGAGGGATATCAGGGATACTAGAGAATATGTGGAAACTGAAGACCAAAGCTTCCAATACTGGCAGAAACACTAGAAGCTGCGAGCCATAAATTGAAAAGTTGGCAGATTCTAGGAACAATATCAGAGATCTCTGTCGAAAAGAGCATTTCTAGGAACAGTTAAGATATTGCTCCAGCTCACATGACTACGGAAAAGGACTCCAGACTGAGGATAACCCATACCACTCATTGCAGATGAGAAAGGAATTTTATGTGTATATAAAATAAAATAATATCAATAAAATTTTATAAATTTATATGATTTGAATTCGATGATTCTTCGCACTTCCGAAAAAATCTTTAAACTAGAAAAAAGAACAAAACAAATATTTACAAATATTTAAAATCTTCAAATGCAAAATTTTTATTTCAAATAATAAATCAATTTAACCTCTCCTAAAGATATTTTTATCTCATTCGATGAATTATTATACGCATTATCACGAGCAATATTTTCCATTGCACTTGTATCGAATACAACATTCAATTTCGAATCCATTAATTCAGTTGGAACTACTTTTTTCCATAGAGTATCTTCAATTTGAGCATTTGTTTAATAAATAATAGGTAAATCACTTTAAATAGATATAAAATTTTTACCCAAACAAAATTCATCGGAGGGAGCAAAAACACTTTGTACTAAGAAACGATGCCTTATCTGTTCATAATCAATGCCAGCTGATTCGTCAAATGGATGTAACATAACTGCAACTACTGTCGTTTCTCCCGCATTAATAATTCCTTGACTGGGGCGAACATTATATTGTTTAGGTGCCGTTGTTTTAACCTAAAAATCAATTAGATATACCGATTTAAATATGAGTTCTAAAACATTATTTTAATAAAATTTGAATAAAACCATTATTCTGCAAAACAGAAAATATAGAAGAAAAAAAAATGGTAAAATGGTAAAAAATTAGAAAACCTTGAAACAAACAACGCGATCTGTTGGATTTGTTAATTTCAAATAGGAAGTCACCTGTGCTTTATACGGTCCTAAAAAATTCTATAAAATTTTATATTTTATTTTTTTTAGAATTCTATTCCGAAAAATTGATTCATCAAACCTTAACACATTTATAAATACAGATAATTTATTTATGAATAATATAAATTTCATTAAATAATCATAATTTTTAAGGATAAGAAAAAATAAGTGTAATAATTAATACTGAGCACCTTATTGGCACCTTTATTATAGCAAAGTCACCTTTTCTTCCTTATGGTTTGTTGAAGTCAAATGGTTTGACCGTGCTTATTTATAGCACTGGGCCATTCCATATTTTTCAATGTACACTGTTCATTTGGTTGTGTGCATGGTTATTTAGTATAAGGCATTGTGACCTATTATTGTATTATTATTATTATTATTAAAATATGTATTTCACTGTGGTGCTTCTATTGTTCTAAGTTGTTGTATTAACACAAATTTATGTAACAAGATGAAATAAAATAAGATTCATTTAAAGTGAAAAAAAACCTTTAAATACTAATCGATCAGCTGGTTCAATCGAAAGAACTTGACGATTTTTCGACATTATTCGATAGAAACTGCGAAAAAAACGTTGAAAAATAGATTAATAATATTAATAATATTTTAGCAAAAAGAAAAAAAAAAACAAAAGACAACCTCGCTACTACGAGACAAAAGCTCGCGACTTTGGCCACATTAGATCTTCGGCAAATGCGCGATAATACAATAAATCAGATATTATTAGATAATAATTACAGCTGACAAGAAGATTTAATTCGCATATTATAGAAATATTTTAAAGAAATTAATTTTATAACTATTATTATTATTATTATTATTATTATTATTATTATTATTATTATTACAGTAAATATTACAAAAATATTATTAATTATTATCGGTGCCATCGGTTATTATTATTTATATTATTTTTGGTTATTAGCTTTTTTATTATTTATTTATTTCAAATTTCAAATTTTTTTTAATATTTCAAATTTTTTGATTTTTTAGCAAAAATAATTTAATTTAATAATTTAATAATTTTAATAATTTTAAAAAAAAACTAAAATATTTAATAAATATTTTTTATTAAATTAATAAAACCTAATTAAATTTATTAAAATTCAAATAAAGTTGAAATTAAAAAAAAAACAATAAAAATAAAATAAAAAGGAAGCAGAAAAGTACGAGAAAAGTTTATTTAATGCCGCATAAAAATCGTTTATAAAATTAACCCCCATCAAATATTTTGGAAATTTGCCAAAATACCAGAGAACGAATTTTATTAAATGGTAAATTATTCGCGATCGATTTGAAAATTATTCGGGTAGTCTCCATGTGCGGTGGAACTTAGCAGATAGTCGAGGGAGCAGTTGCCGAACCTCGCCTATCCCCGTTAACCCCGTTGACCCCCTCCCCCCATCGATATACAATGTTTCTTAATGTTTCTCCTGCGATGCCAAAAGCAGTTATAAAATTGTGTCGAATTAAGTTAAAAAACAACTTTCAGATATTATAGCGTTTTTAAAAAATATTACAATTCGTATAGAAGAGGTCGTAATTTATAAAAAGTTAAATACCGTTAATTCGTGAATTGCACACGAAAACCAGGTTTGACAGGGAGGGGCTAGGGCCAGGTTTGAAGGGGATCGAACAGTTTGAAGGGATTACTAGGATACTAATAAGGAACCTAAGGAGATTACTCTCTAATGGATTGCGGAAAAACAATTATATTTGGAGAACGGTTCAATAAAGACAATGGAGAAGGGGGAAGGGAGTATTGGGTGAATATTTAGTGGTACCACAGGTCGTGGTTCCTCATGAAACAAGGCAGGTGTCCGTTTATTGTGAAATTCCATGGTTTTACAAAAACCCAGCAGATTTGTTTTCCTACGTCGAACTTTAACGACTTAAAGAAACGCAAAAAATGAGGCATTCAAGTGATAGAAGAAATAGAAATGATCAAATTCTGGATGAAGAACTGGATTTCGTTCACACAAAAGAAGCCTAATATAAGCGGAGTGAATGTGGTGGGTGGGCACGAGGTACTCGAGCGAGTGCTGCTTCTCGAACCGAGTCGTCAGCTCGATTCTCGATTGCTAGCAGTAAATATAGACGCGCTGATAAGAGGGGTCAAGGGGGGTGAAGAAGAGGTCAAGCGGTGGCTGAGGAGGTCAAGAAGTGTTGAACGAACGACACACTATCCGTGTCGGCAGGTTTTAATGTTTATTCTCCAATTCTTCCATCAATCATCTGCAAACCTGCAAAAAAACATTCTTACAATAAATAGTTAAACATAAAAATTTCTCAAGATAAACCGACTGTTAGTAATAGACGCGTTTTTTCTAAAATTCGAACGCCAAATGTGTTAATTCTCTATTTTTTGATAATTTTTAATTTACTTGAATGTTATTGTCTTAAGAAGTCGCTCCGCTGCACGTCACTTGAAGTTTTTCCGTCATATGTCGTGGTAGTAGTAATCCCTTCGCTTCACGTCGTCGTCCTCGTAAATCTTTCCGCTGCATGGCACTGCTTAGGTCTCTCTACCGCATGGCGTTCTCGTAAATCTTTCCGCTGCATTGCACTAATTAATTTTCTCTACCGCATGTCGTCCTCGCTGCAAATCTTTCCGCTGCATGGCACTGCTTAGGTCTCTCTACCGCATGTCGTCCTCGCTGCAAATCTTTCCGCTGCATGGCACTGCTTAGGTCTCTCTACCGCATGGCGTCCTCGTAAATCTTTCCGCTCCACGTCTTTCTCTTTCATAGATCTTTCTGCTACATGTCATATTTTTTCCGCTCCAAACCTTTCGGCTGCATGACATTATCTTATGAAATCTTTCGTTTTTTTTTTTTTGCTTTATCACTGTTGTCTCGAAGTTTATTGAATTTCTTTAACGATAATTTACGACAAAATGCAGATTTATTAATTATTTATTTATTTATTTATTATTTATTTATTTATTATTACAGAATTATTATTTTTATATGAGTGGCATATTTTCTAAAAATTTTTTATAAATTTTATAAAAAATAAAATAAATCTCATATTCATTCAAATATTCATTTTTATTCTTCTCGTTTATTCTTTGTTTTATGTAAGGCGTAGCATTTAAAATGTGAAAAATCATTTATTCAAAGTATTTCAATTGGCCCGAATTTGTTTCGATTTCACTGATTTGAAATTGAACTAAATTAATGAATTGTATAAATTGCTGTGAATTTGTTCGCTCAACACATACAATTTTCCTATTTTTTTTATCGTTCTTGCTAAGCGTTCTTTGGCAAATAATCGTGGAAAACTAAGAGCTCAAATCTAAAATCAGTGGACGTGAATGATATGTTTGATAAGACATATAGCAAGGAATGAGGGGGAGAGCCACGCAGAATTAGAGGTTTGAGTTGAGATTAACAAGGAAGCAATGTGGAAAGGGATCTGTCAAAGCGATTAATTAGAGGCAAATCCTACGACTGGAAAGCGGTACTTAGGCACTAACTAATTGCATTTCAATTTTATTTTTATTTTTTATATTTAATTGAATATTTTTTTAATCGTCGTTTCCTTTTCAGCTAACCACTTCTCGGCAAGTCATATTGTTTGTTATAAGTGTTCTTCTAATATTTTTGCATGCAAAACTATTTTATTGTTCTATTATAATAAAATTGCTGTTGTATTTTATTGTTAAAAGTCGCCTTCCTATTTTTTTAAATTTTGATTGCAAAAATTTTATTTTTTTAGAATTATTTAGAATTATTTTTCAGAATTATTAGAATTATTTATTTATTAAATCGTATTTTTGAAAAAAAATAGAATAAAAATAAATAATTCTAAATAAATAATAAATAATTCTAAATAAATAATAAAATTAAAAAGTTTTTAAGTCAAAAAGATTATTAAAATATTAATTTATTTGTATTTTAGTTATTTTGTTGGCAATAAATAATGTCAACGATGAGACCGACAACGACAGTGAATGAATAAATGGAATGGTAAAGATGGCGATTGATAAGACGAAATTTTGTGGATTTAACTGGTGCGTTCGAGATGCTTGTGGTTTAATATGTGTCTTTGTCACTTGGTAATTTTTTTTTTTTTGTAAATATATGATTTAAAATTTTACAAACAGTGATATCTGTTTGTTGGCGGAAAAGTGTTTGTATTTTTACGAAATATAGTGAATCGTATTATAAGAGAAGGAGAGAGGGGAAGGGTGGGGGTAGAGCATAGATTCGATTCCTGTTTCTTGGTAGCCTTATCAAATGGCGGCTGAGGAGTCACTCACTTATTATCAACTATCATATTAGAAATATTTATTCTTTCTTATATTCCTTCAATAAATAAACAAAATTTGAGGTTTTTGATGTTATACGGAGAATTTTGTATATTAACGATTATGATGGCGTCTTGGTCGACAAATTTTATTCATCAAACCATTAATGCATTTGTATTTCATATGTTTATTTTCCTTGCTTTATTTTCTCACTTAAAAACAATGCTTACTGATCCGGGTGCTATTCCTAAAGGCAACGCAACAGATGAATATATTCATCGATTACAGAGTGCTCAAAATTCAATTATATACAAATGTGCTAAATGGTCAGTCTTTTTTTCTTTTTTTCTATTTATTATTAAAACGTGGCCTATGAATAATAAAAATTCACTATTAAAGAGAAAGATAAATGACATAATTAGGGCATAAATGTCAAAGTCAAATTATATATAAGAATTTAATTTAATGAAAAGGTTAGATTTATGCAGATGATATAAGAAAAAAAAAAGAACAAAAAACAATACATACGGAGTCTGAAGAACCGTTATGAGGAAAAAATCGGGTCTAAGACGATATCAAAAATAAAAAGAATTAAAAAGAAATAATTATATGGGAAGAAAGAGGGTTTTTCGTTCCTGAGGAGGATTTGAGAGGGAAAGCGATTATGTGTGGATTCTAAGAAGATTTAAAGGAGAGTTAATTGGATGTAGCAAAAATAGCAACTTTGATGTTTGATGGAGTTTTGCGGGAACGTAGTGAAATTTTGTGGTGTTGATTTGTTATAGTTAAGAGAGGATTAGGAATTGAATGAGGTATTGTTGAAGGGATGTTGAGGGGCCAAAGCAGTTTTTAGCTATTAGAAGATAGAAGAATTTGAGTTTTTTCCTCAAAAGTCTCGAGATTTTCTTCCTTACGCATCATATACACATTTCCATAGCGAATTTATTACATTATTTTCTTCTTTTCTTAACTCATCAAGTATATTCACTCCAAATTTTTGTGAATGTGGCTGTCGAATTCGGCTAAATATTCGATGTCAATTCTTTTCTTTCGACAGAACTTGTTTTGCTGAAAATTTAGTCGGTTTTGCTGCTGTTTCATTGAATAGTTAGTAAAGTCAGAAGCAATCAAAAGCAATACTGCACATATTGGTGTTGGTACAAATGATCATTAATTAACGCAAGCACATGGGACTACGCTTTGTTTGGTCTCTCTAAGAGTAAATAAGTCGTTTTGAGTGGAAAGTTTTTTGGAGTGAAGTGGTCGACTGGTATGTTGTACGCCATTAAAAGTCAAATTATTATGGAGATCTATTTCATGAAGAAAAATAAGAATGAGGTGTTTGTTTAATATTTATGCTCTATATTTCATCATTCTTTGAAAGATTATCATAAATAATCTTTTATAAATCAAGAATAATAATTTAGCAGTAGTATTAAACCGGAACGCGCACATCACTGTAGTATATGTGGTCGGTGTGTTCGGCGTATGGATCATCACTGTCCATGGGTTAATAATTGTGTTGGTGAAGCGAATCAAAAATATTTTATTCTTTTTACTGTTAGTTCTTTTCTCCTTTTCTTCTCGGTCTAAATTTAAAGTAATCAATCGTTGAATAGAAAATCTTTTAGATGTATATTGCATTATTATCACTGCATACTCTATACTGGTCGATTTGCCAGTTTTTGTTTTGCGTTGGAGAAGAATGGCAAGGTTGTTCGATGTTTGGACCACCAGTAACGTCCGTCCTATTAATTTTTTTGCTTTTTGAAGCAACCTTATTCGCGATTTTCACTTTGGTAATGTTTTCTACACAGCTAAGTTCCATTTGCAATGATCAAACAGCAATTGAGTCGCTTAAGAAGGAACGATTAAATAATTCAGGTTAATAATTTTATTACTGGCTAATTTTAATGCACTTATTATAGCTTATTATTACAGCTTTTTACGAATTAAAATTCTCAGTGAACAGTGCCAATCAATCAGTTTTTTTTATGCTTTGAGAAATCGGAAATTTAAAAATAAAATCATTGAAGGTGATTCAAAATTAAACTATTATGCAAACGTTAAAATTTTTTGTCCAAACTCTGATTAATTATAGACTTATCTTTTATTAGCACTCACCATTTCTCTAGCGATTGCTTCCACCTGAAAGTCATTTAGAGGTAGAAGTACTCACAGTATCACACGGGTGAAGAAGTAGGTTTCGAAGTTTAATGCCCGGCCTCAATTAAAAAAATATATCACTCGGCCAATTATATGCCTATAATAGATTTACAATAATTTGTAAATCATTTTCAAGATATTTTTTAGGAATATTCATAGTTTTATCTTATCTGAAAAATTTAGGACCTAATGGTTGGAAAAACATTCAAATGTTATTTGGTGGTCCGTTCTCAATTAAGTGGTTTAGTCCTTTTATTGCACCTTATCGAAGCAAGCCATCTTTTGAATATTCCGTTTAATTTGGTTAGTAAAGTAATTACCATATTAATTTTATTTTGAATAGTCTTGTGAACGAAATGATGTTTCCTATTTTTTTGTTGTCGTAATTCGAAATTGTTTTAAAATTTTAATCCTTTTTTTCAAATTGTATTTTCGTTCTTATTTTCTATTTTATTTCAATTTATTTCAATTTATTTTCATTTCCCTTAGAAAAAATTTTTTAGAGATAGAAATATTTCGAGGAGAGGAAATGACTAATAATAATTGCCACAAATTGCAAATACCATTTATTATATTTGCAATTGTGATCTCAGTGCGTTTTTTTTTTTTAATTTTGAATTTATTTTAAATTATTTTCTGTGCTTTTACTGTTTACTGCTTTATTTTCAATTTTCATCGTTTTATTTTCGAAATTATTGAATTAAAAATTGCACGTTTGATATCAATTAAATTATTTGTAAGCATTTATGATATTTAACAATTTGGATGTTGCCGAATATAATAAATCTGCTTGTGTAATGAAATGAACTTCTTTAGAATTTTATAAATTTTGTTTAATTTTATATAAATATTATAAAGTTTTTAAAAATTTTTTAGCAAAAAAAGTTCTAATTTTTTTTCTATTTTCTTTCAACTGCCAAAGAAACGGCAGGAATCATTCAGTTGTTTCGCGTTGAGGGGAAGCGGTATAAGTTCGATTCCGGTTCTGTGATAGGTGTATTACTTGTCATTAAAAGTGAAACAAGGTGCGACACCTATATTTAAATTCGAGGAATAATTTTAGAATTAATTTAAACTTTTATTTTTACTAATAATTTAATGATTTAAAACCAATAATTTAAATTTTTAGGTGGTTTGTTTTATTACTGTATATCCATCTGTAATTATTGTTTTAATAAAAGTAATGGTAATAAATATTGAATTAAATGATATTTTAAATAATTATTTAATTCCTTTTATTTATTAATGAATGCATAATTATAAATAATAGGAAAATAAATTATGGGAGTAAATCAAATATCTCCTCCAGCGCACTATGTTTCTTCACTTTTTCGGACAGATTTCACCATTACTGATAAGTTTGCCTCATTTATTTTATATTCGGTTGGTGTTATTAATTTTTATTAATAATTAAATATATTTGATAATAAATGGTAGCTATATTTATAATTTATATTTATTTTTTTATTGTTTTTATTATTCATTATTGTTAAATACGTAAAAATTGTCTATTTCTTAGTGATTGTTTATTTAATAAAAAAGTTTTGAATCGCTCCATTTTATATAATTTTATTGGAAGTAATAAGTGAATATTTTAACGTATATATTGCTTTTTTTCAGAGGCAAAATATTCTTTAGAGGCAAAATGATTGTGTATGTGCATTGGTTATAGCCTTAGGCTGTGGTTGTTTCTCGTTGAGAAGCTCCTCAAATTCTTCCAATGCTGCGTTATTTCTTGTTGAGGAGCTGAAATTTCTTTTTAGTTGCCTAAAATCATGCTGTTATCCTCAATTCTTTCATCGAAATCAGTTGGTGCTCTTTCAAACCGCAACCCAAGTCCTTTAAGGCATTTTCATTTTTTTATCGCTTCAGATTTCTAACGCTGGACTAAACAGTGAGAACATTTGAGAAAATTTGGGGTTCTGAGGGAATGCAATGAATGAAGAGCTTAAATGGCAATGATGGGGGTTTTATGAATACAAGAGCAATACGGAATTCAAAGGAATATAAAGGAAAATGTGAAGGAATATGCCGAGATTTGAAGACGGTTACCGCATCCGTAGGATATTAGGATATTTCTTTTTGTTAATCTGCACAATATGAATTAGGTGCATAGGATAGTTCAATGGGTTGTTGCTCAATTCGGAACAATGATGCTTAGGTTCTATTCTTCACAGGAGTAAACCCGTCCAAAAATCCGGTAATACTGGCGACTCACCTCTACTTCTATCGCCAAGGAACTCTTTGGCATATTTCGTGCGATAAGCCGACAGAACGAGTCTAATCAGTAATAGTGAGAGTTCTTAAAAGAAAAATTATGGACAAACATAGTTTGCTAGGTCGTAAATCGAAATAGAAAGATGCCAATATCGTGCAATTGGAACAGGTCTTTGTCCTGGAAACCTGCAGCTCTCAATATTCTCGTAAACTCCTTCGCACTACACACATGCTTACGGTTCCAAAGTTCCATATCTGGCGGAGGTGGTTGTACTATATTCTCTCAACCATTTCCTCAAATTCTCTTGTATTTATCTCGACAAATCCTCATTCGTCCAAATTCCTTTATTTATTTTCTTAGTTTTTCTTTAATTAAACTAGGATTCTGTAGTTCAAACGCTCGCCAGTACTACAGTTTGGCTCTCCTCCTCTCTATGTATATCTAAAGTTTGCTTTTGTCAGTTCAAAATTATTTCGATTAAGTCATGAATAACTCGCATTGTTGGTTGTGGTGGAGCTACAGCTTAGCAAAGGACTCTATAAAATTAAAGCTTTCATTTCGTTCCTCTAAAATTCCTTTATACATCCATCTACTCCATTAAATGCAGTCCTAGGTCTCACTCTCTTCTCTTAAAACTCTCAAATCATATGAAATTTTTTTTTTATGAATTCCGAAAATCTAGTATCACAGTTTGGAAGCTTTAAAATAATTTTTAAAATATATTTTAGAAAAGATGCGATCGTTAAGCGAATCAATTGGTAAACGACCGTGGATTTTAATAAAAATTGTTGATAAATGGAAGGAAATCGGCGTATTAAGTATATTGTCATGTTTTTTATACGTAATATTTTTAATGAAATTTAGCGAAAAGACTCGAATTTCTGAAAATGCATTATTGCCAGCATTGGTCAATGAAAATTTTCAATATTCTCATCATATAAATGCTTTTGTAAAACATTTTCATAATAATTATAATAATAGGTTGGTACTCTTAAAATTTCATTCAAAAATTCGTTAAATAATTTTTAATAATTTTGGCCTAAAAAAAAAGATTTCAAAATGGTTCAATTGTTTTATAAAACGCCATTATTTTATTTATTAATTATTAATTTTATTATTAATTCAGAGAAAATCGAAAATATATTGAAAATAATTTGGAAATGAATGGAATTAAAGTTCAGCAACAATCTTTTTCGCTATCTCTTCCTTTTTTTGTAAGTTTCATTTCTTTTTTTCCGCTATGTTTCGCCAGAGTAATTTAAAATCGAAGCAGTGTTCAGCTTCAGCTCCGAATTTCACGCCTGAAATGCAAGCGAGATTTAGCAGATTCAGCGAATTGGCGCTGTGATTCTCTGCTATTTTGTGATTTCTCACAAATTTTTGCGGAAAATTCAATTGTTTTTGCTATTTAAATTTAGAATTATTCCGGAATAAATATTATTGGAACGATTCGAGCGAATCGATCACCGTCTGTCGAATCAATCCTTCTTGCTGTTCCGCTCGAAGAAAACTCCATTGAGGCAATGTCAACTGCGCTTGCTCTTGCAATATATTGTAGAGGTAAATTTTAAATTCTAATACGTTCATATTCTGGATATTCTAAATTTTTGTTTCGGTTAATATCACTGATATTAATAATTTATTCCAAAATAAATTCGGCGAAAGTAAAAAGTGCTTTCCAAGTCAGAAATAGGCAAAAGAAATAGAATAAAAATGTGAAAAAACATTTTGTAGAACAGATTTATTGGGCTCGCGATGTTATTTTCGTATTTGTTGATGGAAATATATATGGAATGGCTGCGTATTTGTCTGCGCATCACGGTACCACTTTGCCATTTATGAAGTTCGATCGTATCAAATATCATAGTGGCTCGATTGTCGGTGCATTTGTAATCAACGCTACCGGCTCAGTCTTTGATACAATGGACATCAAATATAATATGATCAATGGACAATTGCCTAATTTGGATTTAATTAATCTTATGGTGCGGCTTGCCGATAAATTTAGTTTAACATCGACAGTTTTCAATCATGAATATGAATCGGAGTGGTTGGATGCAATGAAAACATTAAAAAATGCTGTAGTGACACAGGTTGGTTAGCGATCTTCCATTATAAATTTCATTCATTTCTTCCGCATTTTCATTATTTATTTTTTTATAAATTCATTGCTGTTCTAGGCATTCATTAATAATGAAGGCATTCACAGTATTTTTGGATTATTTGGCATTCAAGCTGTAACTATTCATTTGAAAAATATTGTTAGCGCACATGCGAATTTACATGACCTTGCTTGCATTTGTGAAGGGGCCTTGAGGTAAATAAAAATAATATATTATTTCTTATATCGCCATCACCATCACTTGAGATTTCATATTAAGTTGGTACCAATCTGAAAAATTATAAAAAACAGAATAATTATATATAATTAACACTAATTTTAACAGAATTAATTATAATTCTACCAGAATAGTGCTATATCCATTGTTTTGCTTAAATGCACCCACAATATTAAATTATTACAAGTTTAGATTATTTAGTTCGATTATTTAATTATTTAATTCGTCATTCAATGATTAGACCAAAATAAACGAAATCTAAATCTATGCAGTGGTTATTAATATTTTTGCTTAATTAAATCATTTTAAGATGTGGTATCTGCCATTTTTCAACTGATAATTTCAGGTCATTAAATAATATTATAGAAAAATTCCATCAGTCATATTTCTTATACATTTTACCGAATTGTCGCCATTTCATTTCTGTTGCATATTATATGCCAGCGATTGGATTACTTTTGCTTCCTCTAATCGTTCGTGTACGTGAATATTTTAAATTTTAATTGAACTAAAAAATTTTAAATAAATAAAAATTTTAAATAATTTATCATCGTTCATATATCTTTTTCAGTGTTTGAAAGAATGGTTCTCAATTGGCCAATTCGCTTTATCAAATTCCTATTTTTGGATCCATTTGATTGCATTCACTAATTATATAATTAGCTCGAGTTTGCTTGCCTCTGCACATTTCTATATTTATCATCATTTTTCTCTTTTTTTATTATTTGTTCCATATTACTTGTTTTTTCCTTTGTAAGTTTTTCGTATATTTTTTTTTCGAAACCTTTAAAATTTTTACTTGGAAAAATTATCACATCAAAAACCTTAGTATTTAACAGTTTTTCAGGGAAGAGAAATACATTGAATCAACAAGATTTATTTTTTTGTTAGAAGTTAGCCTTATTCTCGGATCGCTTTCTTTATTAAATTTTTCCTTGGCTTTTATTATTTCGTTAATAGTTGTTCCAGTTATTTTATTCTTCTCGGCTTTTGCTGCTATCAAGTAAATATTTTTTCTTCATCATTTCATCATTTTTACTAAATTTTACTAAACAAAAAATTTTACTAAACAAAAAAAAAACAAAAATTTCAAGAAAACTTTTCTATCTTTTTTTTTCTATTTTTGGTTTACTTTAAATTTTCGTTCTGGAGATTTGAAATTATTTTGAAAACATGGAATTCACGAAACAAATCTCGAAAGTCTTTAAATTTATCACATTTTACGTTTTCGTAATGATATATGTTTTATGGTTTTAATAAATTTTTTTCAGGCAGTTGAAGAGGATGAAACCGATTTTCGGTTATTTTATCAATCCGGTGATTCTTTCTATAATTTTTTTGCTGTTATTTGCGGAAAAAAAAGAATCACTTTTGAATAATTTATCGGTGTGGATAAATGAATTTGCTCAAATGCATTTGCTATTTGGTTCCATTATTTATCCGATTTTATTTGTTTTCCTTATTCCTATATGGAATATTTTGTCGCAAATTTTTTATGCTTGTAACTAAATGTTCATTTATTATTGTTTTTTTTCAACGGCCTTTACCATTTTTGTTTTAGGAGAATCGCTTTGGGATATATGGTATATATGGATCCTCAGTACCACCTGCATTTGACTTTTAATTATAGGTTTGCTGCTAACGGCGGTAGTGGACCATGGCACTAGAAATTATATTTTAAGCCAACCAGTTTTCTTTGGTTTATTGAGGATCGCCCAAAGATTTCTCCGTCAGATCTCCTTATAATTTCTTAATATTCCTCGATCTCTGATCACTTTTTTTAGCATCTTCTCGAACTCACTAATCAGGCAGCTCAATTTTCTTCACTAGCAACTTACAAATTCGAGCTTATAAATTCGAGACTTGCCATTCATTATTGGCTGTTATTTTCTCTTGCTTTCCAGAATCTTCATATATTCATCTGGCCTATCTGTCAGTGTTCTCATTTTGCAGTCTATTGCTACCATAGGCCAACAATTTGTTTTTTTTCATTATCAGAGGTGAAATCTTCATTATCAGTGCAAATTTGCTAATTGAGTGAAAATCCCGGTAATTCTAAATAGCATTTTCACTTAACAACCAAAAATATTTGATATTTATTTCTCAGTAAACTTAAATTAAAAAATTAAAACTTAAATTAAATTAAAAATATGAAAAAATATGAAAAAAATAAAAGTAAAAACCGAAAATATTCACTAAATAAATGAAAATCATTTAATAATTTATTTAAAAAAAATGAATTAAAAAGAATTTATAATTAATTTAAATAAAATTATGAATAAAAATGAATTGGATTTGATGAAATGAATCGTAAAAGTTTAGTGAACGGAATTTTTTCATTACTATTTGTAATATTTAATTGTTTTAATAAACGGAAAATTTCTTCATTCGTCATTTTTTCACCAATCGATGTTAAAATATTCGTAAATTCGCTTGCAACGATTGAGCCGTGGTTGTTCTTATCGAAATATTTCAACGCTCGCATTATTTCAATGATTGCGTCGGTTTTTTCGCTTTCGTTACGAAGAATATTCAAAAATACCGCAAAGCCAATTCCTTCTTCTGAAATTTTTCATTTTTCTTAAAAATTCGTAAAAATTCATTTTCAATTTTATAAAAAAAAAAAAGATTTAGAAATCTGAAATTTAATGAATAAAATCGAGGAAGAAGGAATATTTAGAATGAAAAAAGCAGAATAAAATAGCGATAAAATTGGGACGAAAATTTATAAGCCAAGAGCCTAACATTAGTGCAATTTTTATAGAAGAAATATAACCGTAGCGAAGAAAACAGGTCGCTTTATTCACTTACTATATTGTTGAAAATACTGCTTTGTTTCATAAACGGTCGGAGAATAACCCAGGCAGCGCATTATGTACCGCAGTTGTGGTACATTTGATATCACACCGTTTAGACAATATGTGTTGAAACATTGCCGATACTCTTTAATGAATATATTTTAAAAATTTGCAAAATTTCCTATCAAAGGTGAATGTGTCATTAAAAACTCGCGAGCGGTGCCGGTGACCCTCCCAACTGCTATCGTCCTCGGCAAAATGACTCGGACCGTTGCTAAAATCTAACGGAACTAAACCAACCAGAAATGTTAACCACTTAAACCTATAAAAATTTATTTTTATTTCACGCTATTTTTCCAAAATTATAAAGTAGTGATTAAACAGGTTTATCTGCAGAAACCCTCTTAGATTAATCGCTTAAAATTACGAGCAAGTGTACAACAAATGGAAATAGAATGGCTCAGTGGATTGTTGCTCAATTCAGAGCGCCGCGCCGATGCTGAAGTTTTCCCCCTCAGAGATAAACCTGTCTCAAAATCAGATTAATTCTATCACCAAAGAACTCCCTGGCATATTTGTCTAAGCCAGCGGAGCGGGTCTAACCGGTAATGGTGAGGGCTCTTGAAAAAAAAATGGCTCAACGCATTACCGCTCTTACTTCGTCCACGCTTGGGTTCTTCTCTGGGCCCAAGCGAATCTTTAGAAAACCCCTAGGCTAGCGACTAATTCTTTCGTGAAATGATTCCTTAAAGTAAAATTTGTCTGGTTTGACGAGCCAGCGCGAGTGAAGCCAGTCAGAAGTGATAAAGTGATAAACGATAAAATGATTACGATTTACCATCAATTTGACGTCTCGTGAAATATTCAGCCTGAAATAAATTAGACAAAAAATATTTTATATTCGTATATAGGTTTGAGATTTTTCTTTTCTTCCTAGCTGCATTCACTATATTTTATTTGTTTGACTCGAATGGCTATTATGGACGATAATCCTTAGAACAGAGAATAAATTAGTGATAGAAATGCGAGTGGAACTACAGAAGTACCAGAATTTCGATTTTAATTATAGGTTCGCCGCTGTCATGAAGGACGAATCCATGAAAGCTATGGAAGATATTTCTCACTGAATTTCCCTTTTAGGAATTTATTATAAATTTTTTTTACATTCATTGCCGAAAATATTTTCAAATATTTTTTTTTATTTATTAAAAACTAAATTTGGCGATTTTGAAAAAAAACATTAATATTTATATTTATATTTTTCTGAATAAAAAGCGAATTTCAAAAATTAAAGCCATAATTTTAATTAATTATCGGAAGGAACGAAACGCGTTTGTTTTTTGTTTTTAAGGTTATTTCTTTCTGCGCCGTCGATATTTTATTTTATAAAATTAATTTATAAATTTAATAAATAAATTTAATTAATAAATTAATTAATAAGAATTATCGACGATATTATTTCGCATGAATATTCTATTTTTCAATTTTATTATTTCTTCACGAAAATTAATTAAACGATATTTATATAAGTTTTCTTTTCTATTTTTATTAAAATTCTATTTTATTGTTAAGCTTTATTGTTGTTTTTAAGAGACGCACAAGTACGCTCATCGGCCGACTCGATATTCCTCTAAAGAAACTGCGAAAATTAGAAAATAAAATAGAAACAAATAAAGAAAAATAAGGAAGCGAACCATTGCGATGAATCGAGGAATTTAACGAAGAAGTCGGCAGATCAACTCGAATCGCTGTGGGCGATTGAATGGGGAAACGGAAGACGCCCGTTTGCGCGACTCTCGTTGACCTAGAAACGGACGAAGGCTGACAGCGACTGCAGCACTCGCCGACGGTGTTTGTGTTAGTTTATGTAGCGTTACGAGATAAGTTAACCAACCAACTGGTTTCCTTCCCTTTTCAAAATATCGCTGAATGAAAAGAAATCAAATGAAAGCGTTCTTTATTACTTTACAAATTTTATTAGTTAAAATATTTTCTAATGAAAAGCATTCACAACGCTGACAAATAAATAATTTCCCAAGTGGTACTTTGCTTCGACTCGAATCGAACATCGTTGCCCCTACAACTTTTCATGCGACAAACCCCTACATTCGATTTCGCTCGAACTAACATATCTCTCGCAAACCTTTCATTGGCGACCACAATGAGGCATTTCCAGGATTCGCGACCCGACTCGCACCAAGTTAAATGAAATTACTCCACTGATCTCAATAACAATTATATTTTATGCATGCATATATATATATATATATATATATAGCCGAAAACAGAAATTTGTGGTGCAGTTGAAATAATTTCTGCAGGATATATGAATGGGAATTGATAGGAAATTTTTTCCAATTTTTTTCAGCAAAATATGATGAATTTTAACTACGAGGATGGAAAAATGTCAGAAAGTGCGACCGGCATAGGAAAAGCGAACATATAATATTGAATAAACAAAAATTTTGGCATTTTTCATTCCTTTCAACTTTCTTATACAAGGCACATTCAAAAAAAACACCTGAACTTACACCTGAACTTTAACGTAACCCGAAGCAATGGACCTTATTCCCAAGCCAACCATATTAAGCCTAAACGCCCTTAATTCCAATGCTAATTTGGATATAGAGAGACCAAGCATATGAATTATTTAACTTGTAATGTGCCAACAACACATCGGATTTCCAAAAATATATTTTAAGAATAATAATTCGAATGAGCAAATACTGCCGACTATAAATTTATATAATATCCTTTGGCAGGTGATATAATATAATATACGACTTTCAATTTAAGAAGAAAATGTTTAAGCAGCACTTGCTGAAAATTAAATTTCTTTTTTTCTTTGAACAGCAGAATTTCCTAAAATCTCCTTTACAAAAAACTGGTGAACAGCATAGGCCAATCCACTTTTCAAGATTTTGCTGATATGTAATAATCGAGATTTAAATACATAATGAGATTAGCACGTTAAATCTCAAGTATTTATTTCGTAAACACCAAGAAAACACTTCAAATTTTTTGAAGCAAAATGTATGAAAAAAAGCACCTAAAACAATAATAATAATAATTGAACTTTAACATAACCCGAAGCAATGGACTGAAATTAGTTAAGTCCATCTGTGAAACTAAACTATAAACCCACAATTTTTTTATTCGTACCACAAGATATGAGATTTTTTCTTTTCATTTCATTTAGGAAAAAAACATTTTGAAGATGTTTTTTTCTGAAAATATTTCAACATGTTTTATCATAAAAACGGCTTTTTAATGCAATTTGCACGGTTCTCTTAAAGATTTTTTTAAAGAAATCACCTGAATTAATTCAACTAAAAATTTTGCCCGCAGGACAAGTCCTAAGTAAGAGAGCTAGCGATCTTCATTCTGGTTAATACCAGTAGCTGTTATGGTTATAATTTTGCCAAGAATTCACTTGCAGGTCGCCAGCATCGCCAGGATTTATTTATGATAAGTTTACTTCTGCCTCCCAATGGAGTATTTGCCTCACAACATATAATCTGAGACATTATCATTCCCTCCGTACAACATGTTTTTTCAGTAATAAAAAAGTGATCTCAAAAGATTTTTAAAATAGAAGAAAAGATTAAAGGACCTGTCTTTATGTATTTATATAAGCTTAATAGCAAAATAGCATAAAAAAATAACTTCCGAGAATACCACTTATATTGGACAATTATATACAATTACAGTTATTATATTTTACTGACCTGAAATAAATGTGAAGTCGAAAATTTCATCAATGCTTTCGACCCCTGCAACAACAATATTCCCTTAACAAGTAAAATGAAATCATTTAGCAGTCGGAAAGAAAATTACTAAATGGATTTTGCCTTAACTTTGACGAAAACCAATTAAGACTTATCTTCTTCAGTCATAAGCCTTCTACGTTTCCCCATCGCCTCGTTCAGCATTTCATTTTTTTTCTTCTCAGTTTCAATTATATTATTCATTCGAGCACTGAAATAATTTGAAATTTTGATCTCATTATTTTCTAAAAAATATAAAAAAATAAATAATATTTCAAATAAATTAATTACGCACTTTATGCCTAAGTCAACTTCTGGTATACCAGCAAGCATTTGATTTGAAAGAAGTTCATCGTTGCGCTCACTCCTGAATGATCTGATTTTTTCTGCAGCTTTGAAAAAAAGTTTATCTTCTATGCTTTGTGATTTTACCTAAAATATATCATTACTTTGTTTAAAAGTATTTACAGTAAAAATTACAAAACGAAATGATAAATGAATAACGATTATTTACTAAAATCAGGCCATTTCAGATACACTGAGAGTAGATATAACGATAGAGATTTAAATTTTTATATAGCATTCAATGTTGAAATAGAGATGAATGATTTATTACTGTTAGTAAAATGATCAATGGAAGCCAGAATCATGGTAGAATTAATGTATGATATAATAGCATAATATAATATAACAAATAAATCCTTCAACGATGGTTAATATCAATTTCGAAAATTCAATAACATTTTCTACAGAAAAATGATATATTAAAAAAATACCTAAATATTTAAAAGAATTTTTTTCACAATAAGTAAAAAATTTCAAAATATCTATGAAATACCAAATGAATGTCTATATTAATCGATATGTGATATTTATGTGAGCCTATAATTGACAGAATATTTTTCTTGTGCCAAAATCGATAGACCTATGGGGTTCGCTATTACTCTCTCCCTATTTCCACTAGTTAAAACTTTCTGGATTTGATAACATATACATTTATAGGTGGAAGAATTACGAATTATTAATATTCGTGGTTGTAATTCAGTGTGATTATTCTGAGTCGGTTAAATAAATGTATGTACTACTATGTACTATGTACTACTAAATTTATTTATTTTTTGTATATATCATAACCTTAAATAACTTCCTTCCCTTCCCAATCAAAAAACATTATAGACCAATAAATATTGTATAAAACAGGGAGAATAGAAAAAAACAAAAGTGATGAAGAAAAAGAATAACTAACCGAAGAAGATTCTGGAGATTCGACGAAATCATACTCAGCTTTTCTTTTCTTTAATTCATTTTGGATATATTTTTGTCTGAAAACTCAAATTAAATAACCGATTAATAACCGATTAATAACCAAATAATTTAGAAGTAAAAACATGGTTCAAATTACCATAAATTTAATACCACAAAACAAAAATTGAAAAAATTTACAATTCTTTGTGTTCATCTCTCAAAAAAGTTTCTTTCTTGAATTGGTCCCGAATATCTGCTTCAATATTTGCCGCATTCCTTAAATGAAAATTTTATATTTACATAAATTGATGATCAAAAACGAAAAAAAATTTTTTTATATATAAAAATTTTACAATATAAATGATAAAATATTGGATAAATTTTGCATTCTTAGGGAAAGAAAATAAATCAATATGAAAAATATCGTAAAATATATGATACTGATAATAAATAAATGTTATAAAAATTGGCAGAAAATGAAAAAAATTATGGAAAAGAAATTTCGAAAGAAAATTATTAAAAAGAATTAAGAGAATTAGAGAAAAGAATTAACTGAAAATAAAGGAAATTATTATATATTAACCATTAATTTAAAAAATACTGTATTTATATATATTTTTTTAAAAAAAATTTTTTTTTATGCGAATGGAAGCCATGAGGTGACCACGTGATATATTTTATATCATTCTATAGTGATCATATATAATCTATAGATTATTTTTAATCTCGACGACAATATCGCAGGGCTTAGTTCATCATCCCAATCAAAACACACGGACACGTAGAAAAACTCATGCAACTTTCACGTCTATAAATGCATACAGTGATAAGGTATCAGCTATTGATACATATGATACAAATCAATTGGAAAATATTTTGAGCTACAAATTTTGGGCTACAAACCAACAAATTTTTGAGCTAACTGAGAGATAAAAATTATGCATTCATAAATTATTTTCTTTAAGCGAATGACAAATTCCTATATAAACGCAATTTACATCTGCGCTTGACGATCATCAGATAAACGAAGCATACCACCACCACGTTGTCGAAAAGGATCGTCGTTCATTAATAAAAATTCTGCGGCTAATTCTTTTCCAAGTGCGCATTCAACAGCATTTAACCCATTAGAACGCAAACGACTTTCTTGTAGTTCTTTTACTGCTTCCAACTTCCTAAAAATATAAAAAACGTTCACAAAAGCAGATTTTAAAAGAATAGAAAAAAAAAGAATTCTTTCTGCGATAATGTAAATTTCACAAAATAAGAACTTATTTTTTCTATATTTTAATATTATTTACTAAATCCTTTAATAATATAATTAGTAATATTAGCAATAATATTAATTAATATTATTTATTGATATTGAAAACAATAATAAAAAAAATAAAAATAAGTGAAATAAATAATAAAAATTAACAATATAAATAATAAATAACAATATAAATAAAAAAATAATGAAATAAATAATAAAAATAAATAATGTAAATAAAAATAAATAATAAAAAAACGACGACAAACGATATTATTTCCAAATCTTCTTCATCGCCAACCGAATCATCGTTTATTTTTCGCAGATTCCTTTGCTTCAATTTACGCTTCTTAAAAACTATCTCCTCTGACATACAAATTTTATTATTATAGTGAAAATGTATGAAATTAAATTATAAAATACAGTAAACAAAATATCACTTCTATATATTTCGCAATCTTAACAGCTCAAAATTATTCTCAAAATCCGTTTAAACCATAAAAGGCGATTAACTGGGCGAAAATCTGGAAATCGTCAAGGAAGAATGTTTTTGTAGGTGTAAATGATATAAATATGATATTTAAAAAATATAATGAACTATTGGGAAACCGAGTTCCGAGTCAGTAAAATTCTGCTCGTTCGTTTGACTGCGTGTAAAAGTGGAATATATCTTTCCGTTCGTCAAGCTATACGAAACGAGTGTTTTATTAATTGTGGTCAATTAGCCAATCCTTCTCGACAAAAATATCAAAAATATTGCAAATTTTAAAATGATAAAAAGAAACTAAGGCATTGCAGTCATAAATATTTAGCTTCTATACTTCAAACAATGAAAATCGAACTCCTAAAACGAAAATATGAAAAGGCAGATCGATATCCTGCAATTTTATTGTGCGCCTTTTAATGATTTTGTTGAGGTTTTCCAATAAAATGGGAAATTGTTTTGGCATCTTTTTTTGGATGCTTGCGGCATTTGTGGATAACATCGAACCGCTTCCTCGGGGGAGTGGTGAATTTCGTTGGGGAGTTGTTTAGCGATGGAAAGTCGCCAGCCGGTTTTTGGAAAACAGACTTATTCCTGGCGGAAGGGAGTAGTCGAACATCGGTGATAAAGGTGAGGGTAGGAGCAGAACACAGGTGATAAGAGATAAGGCAGAAGGTGATAGCGGGTTAGTGCAGAAGCCGTTGTGCTGTCCGCGCCATTTTCATTGTTTGCTTGTTTGCTTAAATTTAGATTTATGTACATTTTGAAATATTGAAAAGTATTCTTGAAAAAATTAGTTTTCATAAATTCATTTGAAAAGTCTTCAAATTTGGGGAATTTTTATTTTAAATAGTTTTATTAATCTTCGTTTTGCTTGTTTATTAGTGTTTTCAAAAGATCCTTTAGCTGTGATTCAACGTTTTAACGTGATTTAACGTTTTTTGTTTCTTTATTTCTTTTCTTTTTTCTTTTCTTTTTTTCTTTTCTTTTCTTTATTTTCCACCGAAAATTGGTCATTTCTTACCTCTAAACTTTACTAACAAATGGAATTATAGCCGATAATATTGTAATTGATATAGTAATTAAATTATTGATCCGTTTTGAAGTTGGATGAAAAAAATGAAAAAACAAGATTTTCATGGAAGAATAGCTAAAAGAAGTATTAAGAATATTTAAAAGAAGGCAAATGTGTGTTAAGGAGTTTTAATTAAAGGTTTAAGAGTACGGTGCCTAATGTTTATGAGGAAGTTTGGGAGATTTAGCGAGGCCTGAAGGAATGATAGCGGCAACGTAAAAGATTTGAGATGGTACAATTAGGGCACTCTGATCAACGAAGCGCTTCTCAGGAAGATTTTAGCAAAATATAATGCAAGATATATACTTACAGGAAAATGTTCGAACATGATTATTCACCAACTCGAGAACAGACGATTCGATGGCGATCAAGAAATGAAGGTATGAGTGAACGATGGAAAATGCAAGAAGGAGAAAATGATCGGTGGCAGAAACGTGATACAATTGAACGAAATCGAAATAGTGATGATAGATCACTCACGCGCGATCGTAGTCCTCATCGAAAGGGGAAAGAGAGAGGTCTTTTATGTATATGTATATATATATATGTAATTTTTTATTTTTTATTAAGCTTTAGGCATCAGACTAAAAAAAAAGAAGAGCTAAACAGCAATGCAGACATAGTCCTTTTTTGGCAATCTGTGGACTTGTTAGTTTATTTATATTGAGTATAGTACTAATAAAGAAACAACGGGAGATTAAAAAACATTTGTAAAAGAGTATAAAGGGATCTGAGGCTATTATTGGTGAAAAGCCGTTCTACGGCCCAAAATCTGGATATCTCTGCGAATTATTGTGTTTTCTTGAACTTTCCGTTATCTATTTAGGTCTTTTTCATTTTTCACATCTGGCAAATTCTTTTTCGACATTGGCATTCTCATTTCATATATCCAATCCCCTGTCATGTTAAACGAAATATTGAGGCTCAAACGAAATATTAAAATATTTCGAAATTAAGATATTTCAAGAATTCCTTTGGGGCATTTATGAAATCGTCGCGTTTGTTCCATTGAATTTCAGCGAACATTCTATGGAATCATGCTATCTTGTTTTTTTTGAGATTTTGATAATTTATGAATATATCTGCGGTGCGATTCGGAAGCCGCCATGGAACCGATTGATGTTTAAAGAACTATAGTGGTTGAACTATTAGAAGAAATTAAGAGAGTTTAACGAGGTATTGAATGAATATGGCGAGGTTTTATGGATGAAAAGCGGGCATTAGCAGAATTCGAGAAGATAAAATTCAAGATTTAGAATTTAAAATTCAACAAATTTTTGAAAATTTCCCAGTGTTTCTAATTCATTATGACAGGTGAAATTAGAAATTAGAACGTGTATTGTGTTAGGCAAAATTATAATCATTACTTCATTTGATGTTCTATGAAATCAAATGAGTTTAATTAATGATGATATTTTTACGTCATATTTAACCTTTGCTAACCTTCCCGAATAGATGATAAATGTCCAGCAAAACTTGCGACAGTTTTAATTTTGAAAAATTTCTCATAAAATATATATTTTAGCATTCATGGATGGTCGGCGCAATGTTCGCAATGATCGGATGGTTTATATATCAAATATTCCATACGATGTTCGCTGGATGGAATTAAAGGATCTTATTCGCGAAAAAGCTGGAGAAGTTTGTCCATTTTCCGTTTGAATCGATTAATGTGGAATTATCGAAATTTATTCATTATTCATTTTATTGCTTCGGTTTTCTGAGTTTTCTGTTAAATTTTTATCAAAACTCCTAAAGAGAAAAATGTTTGCGAAATATCTTGTTATGGTGGTTGTTTATAACTGCGAAAAAGTTTTTGTGTTCCTGGAGAGATTAATGGAAAATTCATATGTTCAGCATAAAGGCTTTGAATTCTTCACTGGCTAAAAGACAGGAAATGTTTTGTTAATTTGTTTCCTGATGTTCGTTTGTTCGAGCGATTGGCATTGAAGATATGTTGTAATACAGATTATTTTGATAATAATAACCCATGTATTTTTTTACTAAGGTTTCAGGTGAATTTTGTCGAGATCCTCGAAGATCGAAATGGGAAATCTAAAGGTTCAGCAGTTGTAGAATTTCGTGAGAAAGAGTCTGTTGAACGTTGTGTGGAGGCTCTTCATCGCTTTGTTATGAACGATCGCATGTTAACAGCTAAAGAAATTCGGGTATACTGCTCTGGGAGGCTAACTTTTTTTATTTTCTGCTTATTTTCTTCATCATCATAGTATGCAGAGATGACTTCGGAAAATGAAGGCGACAGACTTTTCAGGATCCCGTTGCTTTTTTCCGAAAGGTTAAAGATGATACCGGTATTGACTTTTTAAATGGTTTGCACGGTGCACCCGTTGATACACGTGCACGGCGTGATGAATCTTTCGAAACATATGGCTTAAGTCCAGCTTTTCTGCATCAGCTGAATATAGATGGTTCTTTGACCAATCGAGTTTTTGTTTCCAATGTATGTTTATGGATATTTTATTTCTTTCTTCAACCTTATCCTAAATTTTCTTCGGGAACGGTCATTTGGGTTATTTACCTGGGATTGGATTCTTACTCTACCTCATTGTGATTTTTTCTGGATTTCTACAGGAAATTTGACATCGGTAAAGCAAAGAATTTTGGTTTTCTATTGTTTTTTTTACGTTTTGTACTTTTAAAATTCGCCATTTCTCAATTTTGTCTCAACTTTTTAGCTGCCGTACAACTTGCAAAGTGGTCGATTGTATGACATATTCTCTTTAGCTGGAAAAGTGACATGGGTCGACTTGCATTTGGATAAAGAGGGTCACAGCAAGGGAATGGCTGTGGTGCAATATAGTCATCCCATCGAAGCTGTGCAGGCTATTTCAATGCTAAATAATCAGCGCGTATTTGACAGATTAATGAATGTCAAGATGGACAGATTTGATCCAGTTGATGAAAAACGAGAGGGTGACCTTCCTATTGGTCTTCGTAGTATTGGAATGGGACTTGGTGCCAACGGTGCACCACTTGGTGATGTATCTTCAATTATCTCTTCGCTAAGCTCTTCAAGCGGTGCGGTTGATCATTCCAGTACGCATTATGTCTCTGGTCAATCGGGATATCAAACTGCGTCGTCACCAGCTTTTCAGTCAGCTGGTATCGCATCAGCATTACCGTTTGCATCAAGTAATTATACTTCCACTGCGTCTCCATTTGCTGCAGCGAGTAATGCTACTTTTGGATCTGGATCATTCGGAGGTTACGGTGGAGGGTACAGTGGTCATCGTTCAATTATCATTAAAAATGTTAGTCGATATCTTCATTTTCAAAGTTTCAAAAAATTATTTCAGATTGGTGGATTAGTTAGTGGTGTAGTATTGAGATAGATTAATTGCTGCGAAATAGATCATTGTCACTGAAAAAAAGATATCAAAGTTTTTGACGCGATCTGTTGGGGCACTCAAATGTATTTCTTTATTTGGGTATTATTCATCTTTTCAGTTACCACTGGATTACACATGGCAAATTGTGCGTGACCGAGTGCAGCAATTCGGTCCTGTTGATCATGCAGAAATGATAGCACCGGGTTGTGCAAAAGTCTCATTTGCTAGTTCATCTGATGCTGAACGTGCTCGCAAAGCTTTACAAAATACTACTGTTGAAGGACGTTTGATTGGTGTTGAATTTCTTGCTTGATAAAATTTAATTCATACACGAGCCTATCTACAATTTTTCATTGTCACATAGCTCTGTTCAAATTCTGTTGCTAATTGTTATCAGATTGATTTTAATTTTACGGATTGCAAAGTGGGATTTCTAGAATGATGCTAGTGTTCGGATTAGTAATATACAAAATCTTCTGCGGTTTAGAGATTGTGCGGTTTAAAAATGTTTTGGAAAGGATCACTTTTAGTTTTAAATCATTCTCTTCTTCGTTCATCGAAACTTGTTAAAATTTTGGCGAAATCGTTCATAAATTTGTTGAGTATATGTAAATCGTTCTATTCACATAATCCTATTCATTAGAGTTCTGTGAAAATTTTCGTAAGATTATAAGAAAACAGTATCTTTTTGGAAAATAAATTAATTTTTATTCAGCCTTTTGGTTCTTAAGGTGCATTTTATCAACCAAAAATATTGTATGAATATTACAAGAAAACTTTTGTCGGTTATGAATCTTATGCTTATGAATGTTTCGGCATTGTTCATTTCGTTAGTACATTTACATAGCCAAATTTAATAATATTAATAATAATTGAGGGTTAATTGATTCGCGGCTTGAATTATTCGACTTTGAACTCAATTATTCCATCTTATCGCATATAATGTGACGTTAATCACAGGTGTATTAACTGTATTTTTATCATGCTTAAGGTGTTATTTCTTCACCTTCAAAACTGTTAAAGTTTTGTCATAGATATAACTTTGGCACATTTTGGTAGAAAAGGTAATGAAATGCTAGTTCATAAAAATTTTCACTTTTTGGTCGTAAATCAAAAAACACTGGATTATTGTCGAATATGCTGTTCAGATATTCATCGGAGTTTTCAAGCTATAAAGTGCATAGATTTCAGTGAAACGGGAATATTTGATTTTATTCGATGATCATGGATAATTCATAGTATGTGTTTATTCATTTTCACGTTTACACCCATACCTGACAATTTTTAAAATCTTTTTGTCATATCTAAGGGTAATTTTGTATACATCTTTTTTCCGAAATAAAAAAGGTGCTCTGGGCGTCCTTGGATCGATTTAGCCTTCTCCTCATCCAATTTTGGCGCAACTTCCCCACCATTGGATTCCTTTCGCATGAACCTAGGGTTACTATTCATTCGTCAGATAGGATTACTATTCATTCGTCAGATAGGGTTATTATTCATATATAATAGTTCGATTGACGTTCAAGATGCAAGCAATGTCAGGAATTTTATTTTGGTACGAGGTAGTAGTGAGTGGATACTTTGTTCCATTTGATGAGACTTCGTTCCTTCTTGATAATAATGGTAAGCAATCGCATGGATATGTCATTTTTGTTTAAATAGGTAATAAATATAAGACCATATTACAAGTTAGATATTTATATATTTAAAATTCTCGAAAATAGTACTTGCGTTGTCCTAAATTTCATTGACATTAAAGTGACTTTGATTTTTGTAAGAGCAAAAATAGATATCCCTTGTAGCTTTTTCCTTATACTAGAAAGATATTAATGAATTTAAAGTTTTTAGTAGAAAAGGCTTCTCGGTGAATTTTTTTAAATTTTTGATTTTTTCACAGAAATATTTTTGTCATTATGAGTTAAGAGGCTTTATGTTTCGAATTTATTGCAGAAGTGATAAATGGGTCAAAGAGAATTCTTACAGATGGTTATTTTGGAAATTATAAAAGGTATTTTTCTTATTTATTGACCCGCTCAAGAAGTAAAAATTTTTATTTTTTCACGAGTATCAATTAAATTGAACTTATAAAATAGAAAATTAGCTTGTTTTTCTTCTGACAACAAGAATTATTCTTGTTTGGTCGGATATTTTTTTTTTAGGAGCGTTCACCATTACTGGTTAGGCTAGTTCTGTTGGACCATGTAAATTATTGCCAGAGATCCATTTGGCTATAAAAGTACAGGTTGCCAGCACTACACGAAATTTTTGAAAGACAGGTTTGCTCCTGCAGAGAATAGAACTTCAACTTCATTATGGCAGACATATCTAATTATCAAAAACGATTTTGTCAGTAATTGTTTGGTTTTCGAATATATTTTATTTCATTATTTGTCATATTATTTATATTGTATTAAGTTTCTTAAGTTCTTTTACTAATTTCTGTGGCAATTCCGAAAGTTTCAGGCTTTTTCGTCCTCGGAAAAAATCTTAGCTTAGTTATCAATGAAATCCAGCCGAACCAGAAATGGTGCATGTTATCAGAAAAGAGAGGAATTTCTTTTGTTGATCCATCCATGTTTTAACAGTTTCACTTAATAGCGATATTGAAAGCATATTTTCTTTTCAGTTTAATTTTTCATTTTCATTTTAATTTGCTGTTGTTGTTAAATGTAAAATTAATAATCAAAAATTCTATCTTCATTTCTTTAAGAACGATTCAAGAAATTTTCGAAATCGGCGTGTAATGGAAAATATAAACTCAAAAAAAAACGTGTAAAATATATAAATAGAAAGTGATTATTTCAAGGATATTTTGTATTATCTGTTCATGTTTGCCTTAAAAATGATTTTGGTAAAAGATTTCAACTTCTCTCGTCAAATGCCTCGCTTACGAAATTTTTTCTTCATGCTGTCGACTGGTAGAGTAAACATACTGGCATAGTGCGATGCTTTTTGTTATGAATTGCCGAGGCTGTATTCGTATGTTTGAGAAAAAAACTGCGAGTCATAAAATTGCAAAGTCGGGGATCGCTGTGGTGTTTGCTGGTGACGCATTGGTGAGTGAATTTAAAGATAGAGGGTTGTGGATTAAACAATGAATTATGGTGCAATTATGGAGCGAAAAAATTTTGCTCCGATTTCGGTGCAGCCAGGAGTTGGTTTACATGATGCGGGGGGGTTCTATGCAGTTGACGTGGTATATGATTGCAGGAAGTACTTTATGCTTCGCAAAGAAATTGGTATATTCGCCGCTAATATTTTGCAGATTTTGCAGAACCGCAGATTCTATGCTTTAAATGCCGGAAAATGCACAATTCGTCGAGTCGTTTAGCAGAACTTAGCTTGCTCAACGACTTACTTGAGTCGTAAATCAAAAGCAACTCGTCTAGTCGATTAGATCGTTATGAGGAAGGCGAAAATATTTATAAACGCGAACAGGTGTTTCCTCACAATTTATCATTTCTTCTTAAATTATTCGCTTAAATTTTTTCAATTTAGAATATTTTTATAGTTTTAAATTATTGGAAATTTATTTTAATTTTCGTTGATAATATTCGTCGAATTTTTATTCGGACGTTGTTTTTTTTTTTTTTATCAAATCTTATCAAATTTTTTTTTCTTATCCTTTTATAATTCTTTAAACCAATTAGCGATGGCGTTTTTTGGAAAAATTTGGAAAATTCAATTCATAAAATCCAAATGTTGAATAGATAATTTCATTTGCGATTAACTCGACGGAGTTTTATCCGGAAATTCCGCAGAGGTTCTCTTCTTTTTTTTATTCTTTAATTCATTTAAATCGCCGAATATCAACAATAAATGGTGAGGAATTTCGAAAGAATTTGAATTATTTGCATAATTAGTGAAACAACGATTCGCGTGATTTATTTTGGTTCCTATGATAACATTTTTCCGAAAAAAATTAAGACAAATTTTTTTTGAATTTTAAGAATTTTCAATTGCAAGTTTATCATCAAAAAAATGTCTTAGTTTGAATTTAAAACAAATAAATTGTCTCATTTTTTTTAGTGAACGAAGCAAATAAAATCAGTGATTGCGCGAAGAAAAATTTAAATTTTGAAATTTATGCAAAATTCTAATTTAATATATTTTCTCTTCGACAATAGAGAATGGCTTAGTGATGTTTGCTTTCATTCTGGAACGCTAGTGGTGGTGTTTAATCCTTGGTGGGAGCAGATCCGTCTTTCAGAAATCCGTCCGGTCGGTCTGTTTGAAGCGTATTACGCCCGTATACAGATATTAATGTTAACGGAACGGTGTAGGTATACGCTTCATTTCGCTTCATTAGCATCAATTGATTTGGAACGGAAGGAGTTGACTCGACTCAGTACGGTTCAGCTTCTCAATAATGATTCGGCGCTGAATCGCCTGCATTTCTGTTGTCGAGTTGCGATTGTCAAAATTTTCCAATCCGGCAAACCAACGAACCAATAGAAATGGTGAGCGCTCATAGGAAACAAAAGGAATTTTTTTCGAAAAAACTTCAGCAATCGTATCGTAAAAAACTGTTTAAAGTTGAATTAAGTGCAAATAATATTCCATTAAATTCGAATAATAATAGTAAAAGTTCGACTTTTTGCAATTTTCCAATGCAAATCCTTTATTTCGAGAGGAAATCGAATTTATTCTGCTGCTTTTAAACTTAAACTTTCACTGAACGAAATTTTTGGAAGCGAAACGAAATAAAAGTTATTGGAATGGACGACAAATTGACGTTAAAACAATTAGAAATTACGTAAAATTATTTAATAGATGAATTCAAATTTATGAATAATTAATTAAATGAATATTAAATAATTAAAAAAAATACGAGGAAATTCCTTAAAGTCAGTCTGCTGAATTAAACAACGAAGCAAACTGTGTGATTACTTCTCATTTTATCATTTTATCATTGGTGATTTGTCAGACCGTTTATCAGTTTTTTATTGTTTTTTAAAATTTTTATTTTTATTCCTTTTATATAAAAACATTTTTGCCGAGCGCAATGATCTGCTTGATCTTCTGCTACATTTCCAGTTTTCTGTGTCGCTCGTTGACCTTCCTCAAGTGATTGATGGATACCTCTTTTGTAAAATTTCAAGTAAGCTGTAGTGCAAGCAAGATAGTTTTTTATAGTTTATTTTAACTCAGAGTAGCTATTCGTTCCATTTGCTTCGTTCTTTTCCTTTTTAATGGCACTCGTCATTTCTGGTTTGGCTGACTGCAATGGGAATACTTGGCCAACGAAATATAAAAAATGCTCGGCAAATATTTTCACTAGCAGCCATTCATCTATTTAATCCCCATTAATGC